CAAAGCATAGTTATAAGACATGTTTTCTTTAAAATGTCTTATACCTATGTTTTTATAATTTTGAGAGGATAATTCGCATAGTTTTTAAAAGTACTGAACTTAAATTGACGTTTTGTCTATCAATTCTGTAGAAGAACTAACAAGGAAAGATTAAGCCTATAATCCCTACCACCGAACCGAATCCATAGTATACATATAATTAAATTTTGCTAATATTTATTAATTAATATATTTACCTCAAGTTCGTTATAGAAAGCGTCCTGTAGGCAGAAGACTTCAGTACCATCCAATTGTAGAAAATTTGATGATTTATACAAATTTTCTGTTATATAGAAGTGTTCGCTAAGAGAAGTTTCACTATATTTTATGGTTTCCCCCTCCTCCAATAATACATCGTTTTGAGCTCGTGTTTGTTTTTCTTTTCCAGACTTGGATTATACATATTGGATAAAATATTTGTCGGAGGATTTTCATCTCGAATCTCAGAAGCGACAAATAGCTTTAGTCATTGTCCATACTTCTCCATCAGTAGATCCATCGATCAGGCTACCTTTAGCCAAGTGGAAGGTGGAGAAAATGTTACATCCTCATCTACTTTATTCATCAATGGCACAAATGTTGCAGCCCACCCAGACAATGACTTGGAGATTGAACCTTAATTAAGTATTTCCCAATGTTTGTATTGAGTATGGTTTTTTTTAATATGATTTCAGGCATGCTTTTGGTACTGCTTGAAAAGAGATCCAAAAGAGGCAACTCAGGTAAAGGTGGTAGACACGTCCAATCGGAGTATCACCTGGGCATGGGACACGAGCACTGGGAAGTGGGATGTAGTTTACCAGCATTCTTTCACAAGTACGTTTCAGCTCAAATATTAATGTTTATTCACACATAATAAAGTATAATTTGAATTATCTAGCCTTTTTCAATTGCTACATCCCAATGAATAAAAATAGCAATCCAAATTTCTTTTTATCAGTCATTGACTATGACGTTCGTTCTAGTAAGTGCCAACATCATGTATAATATAAGTGTTTTCATAACTTTTCCACCGTTTATTATTCATTTATCATATTAGCTTATCAGTTGAATCAATAAAGCGTACAGGAAAAATCTACATAATATTACCTTGAAGAGACTAAAGACTAATAATATATTTGTAATATGAATTTATTTATAATAATATAGATCATTACTCATTTGTTTATAGCGTAAACTGTAAAAGAGAAAAAAAGTCTGATTTGTAAAGACAGTTTAGAGTCATAGTTTCAACACAATTTCTATTGGTTATATAATTATCTATATTTCAAGCGAAAATCCACGCATTGCAAGCCGGTCATATTTATCCTCGCTTCGATTGGTTGGTTGTTGTTTATCAACACCATTATATATATATATATATATATATACAAAATGGCATCCCGTTTGTAGAAGGAAATATTTAAAGGGATAGCAATATTTTTCTAAGTAGCAACAAAACGTTAATGTAAACAATGGTCCAATTTTCAACAGAATTGTAGGAAATTTAAGTTTTATGTTTTTTTTAAGTAAGTCATGTGAATAAGAAGAGGTAACTAAAAAGAATGTTTAATTTAAGTAATTAACAATTGCTTCACAGTAAAATAGACAAAATTTATTTAAAATTATAGTAAATTTTTTCAGTGTCAAAACTAATTAAATAGCACTATTTAGCGGCTAAACTAAGACAAGTTTTGTGTTAAAAACAAAAAACTTTTTTTTATCACCCTTCAACTATACTACATATATCCAAAACTTCATTGTTTAATAAGCTGAAGTCCACATAAAATTAAGTTTAGGATTATCACGAACTAAGTTGAGATTCACCACAGGAGGATCTACGAGGAGAGGAGATGGGGGTCTTTTAGGGGTGAAGATCCCCACCAAAATGGTAAAATATAACCATGTCTTATGAAAAAAACTATTAAAAAATTATCTCTAAAAGTATTCTTGTTCGTGTGGTTAAATTTAATATGACTTTAATCACTTTAACACTATTTCATACAGGTAGTTAATTTATTTATTTTTCTTCCAAGGTAATTATCGTTTTTTCAGGTAATTATCGTTCAGCAGTTTTTTTATTGTTTATTCTCCTCCACGTGGCAAGGTTCTGGTCCCATATAGGTCCTGTTATCTTACGGAGAACTAAAGTTAAGCAGCGCCGAGCGGGGCTAGCACTTGGATGGGTGATCCTCCACCAAGGAACGCCACACTGCCCGAGATTCCTCCCCTCCCCGGGTATGTGAGGCCCGTCAGCCTACTGGAGGCAACTCACACCGACCGGGCGTAGGATTGATGACCCTACCCCGTACTTTAAATCGGGAATCGGAATGTGATCTTGGACCACACTCGCGGTCAAAGATCTTCATGGTCTGTAGCGCTAACCGAAAAAAAAAAATATATATATATATAAAATTTTTGGGCTGAAGCTCTTCCTCCAAAATTATATCTTGGATCCGTTTGTAAAAAAAATGAGGTGATTTAATACCCTATCACCTAAAACAATCATGTTTTTAGCAAAAATTATTACAATAAATTATTGGAAAGCTTTAATTTATTTTTTCTATTATTTGTTGTGTATTATAACAAAGATAAATCAATAAATACTCCTTTTATTTACTAAAAAAAAAAAAAATTAAAAATAATGATTTTTATAACATTTATCATCTAAATTGATATTGAACACCGGGTTTTACCCAAATCTCTATTATAGGAATTGATTCCTATCTATAATTGACCAACTGAATGTCGGTCATCGATACTATGATGAAATGAAATGAAACAACGTTTATTTATTTATAAGACACAGTAGCTAAGTGTTTTATTTATAGATAAGAAATGTGGAAATCTTTTTAATGCACTAATGACGTGGATTCAGTTCATGTTATCTGAAAGGTATTGATTGCTTTTGAATGCCACTTCTTTGTTCACAATGCATCATCACTAGATAAGATTTTATGAAGCTCAGTAACTAAATTCATAAAATTGTGGAGTTTGATGAGATGAACCACTATTTATTTAATATTTCAACAGTGAATTATCAGAGGACTTCCAAATTCTTGAGAGAATTTTCAACAAAGCCACTGTCTAAGTAGGCCGCTCAGTATTGACGAATCCACGGGGAGGCTTAAGTTCGGGCTTAAGCTCGGGGTTAAGTAACTCAAGACAGAAAAATATATATATATTTTCATTGATCCATATTTGTTTTTGTGAATGATCAGAATTACTGAATATTTACTGTCAATAAATGTAAGGACGTGTCAAGTAAAAAATATTTAAAAAATTCATCCCTTAAAATATTATTGTTCCTGATATCAAGGTTGTTTTTTTATAGGCCTTCAAAGACCACATTAACAACATTCTATATAGCTTCTTTTTTTTTCTTCTTTAGTAATTAAAAAAACGAATGAAATCTTCAACCCGATACTCCTGCTAGAAAAAAAAGCCATTACATACTGCAAAAATATTACAACTACGAGGGAAAGATGTTGTCCTACAGATAATTAACCTATTCTAATTAGAAAGTGTAACAGCGAAAAGGTCTAGATTCATTCCATGGTTGCGCCATGAATTATTTTAACTCGTCCCAGGGGGAGGGATAGCAGAGCGGGCTAACGCGTCGGCAAAACGAGTTGTCCGGCGAACTAATAAAATGAATTTAACATGATAAAATAATTACCGTTGCCGTACCCCTGTCGGACTAATTCTCCATCCTTTCTTCTGGCCTGGGAAAAACCCGTATAGCCGAAAGGCGAGGAAAGGGAGGAAAAGAAAAACAAACCAGTATTCCAATGGATACTGTAAGTTTGCAGCTCTCATCTACCTCTTGAAGGTAATAGAAGTTGTCTTAAATTCGGATTTATAAATAATTAAAGTTATGTTTAACTTGACCATCATCATTTTTGCCGCTACAACCCAAGTTGGATCAAGTCTTCCGGTAACATCAGTCTCCAGTGAATATCTTGGACCAGCCACCACATCATCAAGCCAACACAGTTCTGGTCTTCTATAATAGAATAGAGTAGAAAATAAACTTTATTCTGGGACGATGTCCCCGTAGAATAACAATAATGAACAGTTAAAAAAGAAAAAAATACATATCTGGCCAAAAATTAACTTAATAAAGATTCAAAAAATATATACAGCAACTTAAATAATAATATGTAAATTACTGAAAAATAAAATAAAATCTTCTCAATTATACTTATAATTTCACTGAACAAAATCAAAAAAAAGAATTACATGTATAGAAAGAAAAAGCAAAATCTCCAGAAACGAAAAAATGTCAAAATTACGTTAATAAAAAAAAATTGACTTATGTTAAAACCCAAACAGCTAGAGCTTACAAAATATATACATATATTAAAGATATATTAATGTAAGAAGATGAGCAACGGGATAACAATATTGCATTATCCCAGCATAAAATATATAAAGTAAGAATAAATAGATAAATACAATTATGAAGCAGCATTAAATTAATTTCTATTGGTGTTCTTCCGAATAGCTGTTCTATGAAGAGATTTGGAATATGGCTATTAGGCATCCTAGCCACATGGCTTTCCCAGTGTAGTTTAACAACCTCAATAATTCTAACCACGTCATTTTCTTGGAACAGTTCCTGCAGTTCTGCATTTGTTCTCTGCCTCCACTATTGGTTCACTCAGATTGGACCAAATATTCTATGAAGGATTCGGCACACATACATTGACATATATCGGTATACATATACATTGACCTGTTCGATGGTTTTCGATAAACTACTAATGTTTAACGTGATGCCTACTCGCATTTAAATGTTATATAGTCCTGGAGGCATCTCATTTTCCTTTTTCTTACGTATGCCACTGAGAAGTGTAGTATTACAGTTATATTATTATCATTTATGCGTGTACTTGTATAAAATAGTGAGTGTGAGTGTAATTATACATTTAGATATACTTTTTTTTTTGTTTACAGCGGATCGCTTCGCTGTCGGAGCCTGCCACACAAGTCGGGAAGAGAGGAAACCCTCTTGTGTCTCCTACGACTCCGCCCGATCTTGGCAAAGTGACCAGAAATATATTTCGGCCACTCCTTGGAACTTGTCCTACAACTGCGACATTTTCGGGTTCCAGCCAGGCCCCAATGGGCGATATGTATTCCATATTTATTCAAGTAAGTAACTTAATGAATCCAAAAAAAAATATTCCTTCTACTTAAGGATTGAGAGAGTACTTTAAACACCTCAAAAATCGAACCACAGATGTTATAGTTAATCACTGTTATCTAGCAGCGGATATAGGATTTATTTTATTTTATTTAAAAAATAAAATATTTTAAAAATATTCCTTCTACTTAAGGATTGAGAGAGTACTTTAAACACCTCAAAAATCGAACCACAGATGTTATAGTTAATCACTGTTATCTAGCAGCGGATATAGGATTTATTTTATTTTATTTATTTTTGGGAGAGGAAATTAAGGTTAGACTGAAGGCGGGAAATGCTTGTTATTTTTCTGTGACAAAACTACTTAGTTCGCGCCTCTTGTCCCGAAACTTAATAATTAGAATCTATAAAACAATTATCTTGCCTACAGTTCTTTATGGGTGCGAAACTTGGCCGCTTACATTAAGGGATGAGCAGCGTCTTAAGGTTTTTGAAAATAAAGAATTGCGTAGAATATTCGGACCGAAGAAGGATGAGTTAACCGGAGAGTTCAGACGGTTACACAACGCCGAATTGCGTGAACTGCATCCGAGTAATATAATTGAGATAATTTCATCGCGGAGAATCAAATGGGCTTGTAAAGTTGTTGGACTTAGTAACGAGAGAATTCCTAAAAGGTTAATAAGGCTGTGCCGAATGGTAAGCGTCCGAGGGGTAGATCGAAGCGAAGGTGGGAAGATTGCATTAAAGCCGATCTGAAGGGACTGGATTTGGACGGCGAACGATGGAGGGAGGTGTGCAATAAGCGATTGGTGGTGTCGGCATCGAACCTTCGGGTCCGCTAAGCCTTTTTATTATTATTATTTTTGGGAGAGGAGAGGAGGAGGAACTTTTGTTTACTTATTTGTTTTAATTTTATTTTTTTTAAAGAAAAATAGAACATTACTTATATGAAATGATGTTTAAGTGATCCTTGAGACAAGAAAAAGAAAATGAATTACAGAAATATAAATGCTTTTAGAGATAAATTCTTATTATATCTTTCCTTGAAGTATTTACACTTACTAGCTGTATTTATATTATAATTTAAAAAGAGAATGTATTGTGATAGCATTTTGCTTAGATTCACTAACGGATGCAGAATTTAATTTCTTTTGGAGGGAGGGAGAAAAAATCTTCAGCCTGAAATTTTTTATTTTATTTATATATTAGGATAATTACTTCGGAAGAAAGAAAGAAACTAACTACCTATATGAAATAGTATTTAAGTGATTCTTTAAGTCCTATTAAATGTTATTAGAAGAACATAATACTTTTAGAGATTATTTTTTTTCATAAAACAGGGTTATATTTTACATGTTATCCGATATCCTACTGTTTTATTCATAGCTCAAAAAATCATATCGAAAATCTGATAAATCTATTCGGTTCGCCTTTGTTGCCAGTTTAAAATGAATATAACCATGATGCAAAAATAATAATTTTAGTTGCCTACATCTAATTGTAAATAAAAGTAAACCTCATGAACGATCCATTATTGAATATAAATTTTAATGTACCCATACCTCTCTGAAAAAGTAATTTTGACATTTAGAAAAAACGTCATATATTCTGTATGACCTATGAAACCTGTATACGAACAGGTTTTACTATTTAGGCTTTCAGTTTTTTTTAATATTAACAGAACAATATATGTTTACGAGTACATAGTATACAGTAACATTACCAGTACAAATCAGTAACATCATGAATATCACTAATGTTATCACATTTCCATTCGTTCTATTTGAAAAGGCGGAAAGTATTTCTTACTATCATCCCAAGCGTCACGTGTTAATCAGCTGTTGGTACTGGATATTTAAATATAATGGTTTAATGACGCGATTTTTAAAACATAAAGTTTTTTTTATTTAACTCTCGTGTGTGTCACGGTGTTTTCTAAATAACCAAGATATAATACTTTGTGATCCCTTGAAATATTTTCAAATTAAGGTTTATTTACAGTATTTTTGTCAGTCTCTGAGAGAACTATATGATACTAGTAGGCCCATGCGAAAAATTGTCACAGCATATTATTATCAAATGCCAAATTAATAAGCAAATAAAATAATGCAACGTATCAAAAAATAAAAATATCAATTGTTACTTTATCGATAAATATAATCGACAAAGGAAACAAAAATTAATTTAAATCTTCATTAGTGTTTTTAAGCAACATGTTTACAGATTTCAATAAGCTGTATCTTTCCTAAAAATTGTCCGATTTCGATGATTTTTTTTTCGTTTTGTTGGAAATTTAGTAATATTTTTAGGGAAAAGTGTGTAATTTTTTAGTTATTCGCAAATAAAGTTTGTTTTCTATCATATCTTGTTTGCCTGAATTTTCGAGGTGATAGGACTATTTTGCCCGCCTGAATGAGAAGGAAGCTTTCGAAATTGGTGACTCAATCTTGAGATTTGGTGAAGAATTAAAGATGATATGGCTTGCCTATCAAAAACACCATCGATATAAATTATATAAATTCCTCCTCTCTCGATCATAGAGGCCTCAAGTCGACGAAATGAGGCATGTATTCAATGACAGTACTACAATTAACGTAAGGATATATATATATATATATAATAACGTGTGTGGATGCGAACTCCTTGCGTTATCTCGAAAATAGTACGTTTTTGGGCTTAAACGCAGGCTCCGGTAGTTCCGGAGGAAATATCCGGGTCTGTACGCATCAAAATCTTCAAGGTCCAACTTGTCCCGTATCGATCCACAGACCTACCTCCGTTCCAGTATTGAAGCCTAGCAAAATGTTTGTATCGAATTTATTTATTTTAGAAAGAAAAACAAAAGTGGAGAATACGATTCGCTAACCATCTGTGGAATTGTGAATCGAACGGTACTCCCTCCATTCATGGTATTTGTGCATGACAGGAGCCTATATTTGGTATAAAACCGATTTCGAGCCTTACTGTAATAATTTATGTGGGAATTAATTGAAAAATTTCATAACCTATAACTCACGAATGTCATGCAGTAAATAAAATTAAAGCCTATATTTATATCTTGCAGATTGAAAATATCAAAAACTTATATATATCTATTATAATCGTTGTCAAGGATGTTGCTAGAAGACGTTTCAGTAGACTTTAGTAATTAAGTAATTTTTCACATTAACTTTTAGTGCGACAAAGTACATTTAAATACCTAGTTGATATATTTATTTTGAAAGTGACCCATGGAGTGCTTACCTCTTGATTAATGCCATAACATATAGTAACTTTTCTAATATTATTTTTTACTACTTTTTTTTCTTTCTTTTGATACCTACATGTACTGGAATAAATAAAGTGTACTGGAAATTCAATACAATTGACTGCCCATCACATCTAATATTATTAAATAATGTGTATTAGTAAGTTGTTTGATTAATCACAATTAATGACATAAAAATGCATCCTTTCATATTATGATAATGTATATAAATAAAACTGTAAACATAAATAATAAAAAAAATAACTTTTATTTTTAAATAACAAATATCTAAATCAAAATTAATAATATATTATACCTTAAAAGATTCATATTCGTCTATCTTATTAATTTCTAATTAAAATAGTTAAGTTTTTTTAACGAAATTAGTTAGTTATTTTTAATTATTATATTACATCCGAAGAATTATTTTTTAATTAATGCATTATATTTAAGGAAACCTTCACTACGACCCATGGGCAACGAATTGTGGATTTAGGGAAAATTGCTGTAAGGTATGTAACCCTTATGAAGAAGATGAAATGAAAAACTGCAAAGATGCGATAAACGAACGAACTCAGGTATGTGGTTTTCGTCATTCGAAATGTCAAATCTAAATACATATTTTTACATACTAATTTTTTAAAACTACCTAAAATTGTTACTATACCCATTTTTCAGTAATATGTATTTTGTTTTTCCCTCCATTTTATTCCAATGATGATCGATTGTTTCTTAAGCTTTATTTCTACTCTCTCTCTCTCTCTCTCTCTCTCTCTCTCTCTCTCTCTATATATATATATATATATATATATATATATATATATATATATATATATATATATATATATATATATATAGGTATGTTATCAAATACCTGTTTATTCTCATCGATTGAATACTGGAACTTCTTGAGATACTTTAATTAACTAACGGAATTGGAATTCCCTTATCTAAAATGTGTTGTCTTATTGAATAAAAGTATTTTTACAGTAATTTAAAAAAAAAAAAATATTTAATGTAATAATCATTTCATAAAGTTTTCAAAAAATATTTATTATTTTTTAATTAGATTTACTGATGCATTTGAAGAAAATACAATTTTGAGACGTTCCCTGAATATAGCTAACTAAACAATCGATTCCATTGGATTCATTTCTATTTCAAGGACAAGTTTTATATTTATAGTTTTTTGGAATTCAAAGTTTATTTGAATCCCTGAAATCGAAAAATAGGAAGTTGAATTGAAAGTTCCTGTAAGAAAATTTCTAAAAATTGCAATACATAAGAAAAAACATGAAGGCGTATAAAGAAATACGATTTTGAAGCTATACACATAACTGACATTAATTTAAAATAAATAATTAAAAAAAAAAAAAAAGCTTGACATAGTTATTTCTATAGGTATATAGGAATATTTGTTAAGAGTAAATAAAAATAAGAATGTTAATAGGTTATTAGCAAAGCTCGGGTTTCTATGTGGTAAAACACGCATTATATGCTATATTATATATATAAAAAAACATATATATATATATATATATATATATATATATAATCGCATTAAACCTCAATGTATAAAATAATATCCAATCACACTGAGGAAGCATTTTTTAATTTTTGTTTTAATTTACATTAAATTGGCCTCTGCGTTGTAGCACATCAAGCAAATGCGTTTCCGTTCTATCCTGTCTTTTTTAATTCTTGATCCTTGTTTATATTCGGCAGGAGATCTTTAGGTCACTGCTTCTTTAGTCGTCGTGGGTTCGCAAGAAGAAAGAGCTTGATCTTTAATAATGGTCTTTAAAAGGAAGAAAGAAAAAGCTGAAGAGACGATGAAAAGCCAAGACATGGAAAAAAAAATAATCTAATGATGTTAATTAATTAATTAATGGTAGCGTTTTTTTGTTGATTTTGTGATGACTGAGGATGAATTTTATTTATTTTTTTGTTTAATCAACAAAATATACAACAATATGTATTTGTTATCAGATATGCATATCTATGTAATATTTTTGTATTTTTATTTTTATTGATGATATTTACAACTTTATTACAAGTTAAAATACATTCAGTAAATGTGAACAAAATAATATAATAACATGAAGTCAGTTGTACTACCCACTGGTAGCACTCTAAAAATGTATTTACAAAAGGAGATCTCGAGGCCATCTTCTTTTCAGACGCCTCGGAGGGATCTATGTAATATAAAATTTAAATAGTTGTATCTCTCTACTCTGTAAAGAATTCATTCAACAGTTTAAAAACTGCATACAAACAAGCGTTATATAATATATTCAACATTAATGCCTGGAAATGAATATTTAGAGAGAAGTATTCTTAATATGAAATATCTTCAATATGGCGGTGAAAAATATTTATTAAGTTTGAGCGTCCTCAGGGCGTACGAGTATTTGACCTTAGTTACGTTGGTGTTGGAATCACCGCTCAAATTAGACAGCTTGTATTCTCATGATTTGCCGCTATAAATAAACGTTACTCGTTATTCAATATATTCGGTCACTATAATATTTTTTTAACATGGAATAAAAAATAAATAAAAAAAAGAAGAAGATGAACAATAAGTTTTAAACCATGGCGGTTATTTTAATGTCTCAGAACGATGTTGACACGTCAAGAGAAAGTCTAAACTATCTTACCTTTGGAGTCGGACTGTGTCCAATACTTGGATCAAATCCAAAAAACCCTAGTTATAGTTTAGTCCGCAAAGTTGTCGCAGTGATGTTATTTAGGAAGTTGTGTATTAGTAAATTCCATCGTGCTTTTCTTTAAAAAAAAATACAAATGAATAATTATAACATATTTCTTACCGGTATTGTAAACCAATCATTTACACAATGTGCTATACAGAGTATTTTGTAATTGCACGGCACTATTTTAGGTAAGTGTTCAATAGCAAAAAATAAACAAAAAGTTCATGTTAACATATATCTCAAACTCATTTATTAAACAGATATCAAAGGTTAAAGATTTATTATTTATTTACTACATTAAGACTGACTGTACAAAGTTTAACGTGTTTAATACTAAATAACAGGTTTTAAACACCTGATAAACAAATGGAAGATAAGCAATGACAGTAGTTGCTCATCTGCTTGTCTATTTCTGTGTGTCTTAGTGTCCCGGAATACTGTGACACATTAACTAAAAGAAGCCGCAGTAACTATCAAGCACCATCCTGGTGTTAAACGAAGAGAGCATGGATTCTTCATGCTGAATGTCACATTCAACAAAACGCAGGCCCCTTTGAACAATTACTCTAGATGTTGTAATAATAATAAATAAATAGTAATAATAAAGAATAAATCGTTAATCTTTGATATCTGTTTAATAAATGAGTTAATATGAAGTTTTTTGTTAGTGAACACATATATAAAATAGTGCCGTGCAATTACGAAACATCCTGTATATACAGTGCCGGCCTTAGGGTGGGGCAATCGGGGCAATTGCCCATCATACAATAAAATAATTCAATATCCAAAGTTCTCAATTTAAAGGATTCCAATATAAAATAAATCAAATCAAATCAAGGCTCTGATGATATATTAGTAAGTACTAATTTGAAAGATTTCTTTAATTATTTAGATAATTATAAGTCCCAATGTTAAGAGGCTTTTAACTCTGTCATTAATCCCTCAACCTCTTCCCTGACTCGGGGAAAACCTCGTTTAGCCGAATAAGATAAGGGAGGAGAAAAAAAAAATTATTAATACCTCATACTATTATTATTATTTTATTCTATTGTATATATTTTATCCTATTATTATCATTATCTTATTTTTTATTATTATTTTAATTTATTATTATAATTTGTATGTATTATTATTATTTTATTTACTGGTCACTAGTAGGGCACTAAGCTTCCAATGCTCGAGGTTCGAGGTTTGAATCCCGGCTCATGGCAGAAAAATTATTTATTCTATTTCATTGGCCGTGGGGCGACCCTGGGGAAGGGAGACCCTCCTGGGGCACACCCAGCCTCTATAAAGTGAGTACCCTAAATTAAATAATCGATCAAGAGAAAAAACCTGTCGGTTGAGCGTGATTCTGGTCCGATTCCCTCCCTGTACAACCATTAACCTTGAAACAGTACTTTACCTATAAAGTACTAAACCCAAGACGCTTCATGGGTTGTAGAGGTACAGGTTTATTTTTTATTATTTATTTATTTCTCTATTATATGTATATATTGTACGAATGAACACTTTTAGCCGCCCTAATACTTGTCGCTCTTCAATATGGCGGATTTTATTATTATTTAATTAACTTGTATATAAAAAGAAGAGAAAAAAAAGATACCAAAAGGGATATAAAATGTACTGCAACTCTGGACGAGAACTAGGATTTTTGATGGTTGGAGGAGGGGTGAGTAGAGGAGGAGCTAGCTTAATTTCATCGTTTTTTCTTTTATCATCTTCTCCTTCGTTAAAAAAGTAGGTAGTTATAAAAATATTTTAGGCACTAGGTTTAAAAATAAATAAAATCATTTAATAATATTAATTATTTTTATTAGCTGGATTAAAGTCAAAAAGATCAAAGAGCGGATGCGAATATTCTTTACTTATTCTCAAAATAAAAATTCGCTCTAAATTTGCCGCCCCTAAATTCTGTCACCCCTCTGCTGCTTTGCCCACCCCCAATTCTGGTAGATCACACTCTTTTCCCTCCATAACGATTATTTCGATATAAAGCAATATTTTATCGCATTCGAGGATAAATACCGCTAAAAGACTACACCACTGCTCTTGACTACGAAATTGACGAAAAGGTGATTGCAGGTTTCAAATGAAACTTTTTTTAATGAGGCTGTATTTTTTTAATAATTAATTTATAACAAATAAAAATAGAAATTGTTTATTTTACACTACTCAATTTTTAGTTATTCCATTAATATATATTATAAGAAATTACTGAAAATAACAATAATACAGCAGCTATCAGGAAGATTACAAAATGAATCTATCTGTAAATTATCTTTAATATTTTACTTTTTTTTTTTTACTAAAAAATATTCATTTCCTGTGTTATTTAGGTTAATGAAAGCCTCATAATTGATAACAAATAAGATTAGAGATTTTTCTGGATAATAATTACTATTGATTAAATTTGATCTTTCCATCATATTCGATAAGCTGAAGCATAAAATTTGATAAGATCTTAAGCAACTTGATTTTTTTTTTAAAATGCTAATGAAAAGTTACTTCAACCACTCGAAGGATGGTATGAGCCCTTTGTGCCCATCGACAAATTTTGATTTTGGTCAGCTTTGTTCTTGATCTTGAGCCAAAACACCAATGAACTCACAGGTCAGTCAACTCTGCACATTCCACATACTACCAGTCTCAGATAATTAAAATTAAAACAGATAACATATTTTCGAAGTGATTAATATGTATAAAAACGTCCCAAAACTTAATCGTGGTTTTTCAAACTTTTCATTCATGGAAAAATAAATTGATAAAAAAACTCGGCAAATTATTTCACAACGATTTGTAATTATTTTTTTATTTATTTGTAGGTTTGGCGTAGTATTCACATAAGACTTTATATTTTTCTTCTATCTTCATTAATGACCTCGACCGAGATATAGACCTACGAAACCTCTAATTGGACGCCATTTTAAAAAGAAATGGAAGATGGTAATGTAGAGTTCCGAGCATTATCCTTGTGACCTGCGATATAGGTGCCAAATCTAAAAATAAAAAAAAATTAAGGTGTGTGCTTTAGACCACACGATAGAAGTGAAAACATCAACAGAGCGAGATTAATAATGAAATATAAATTATAAGTAATAGCTAATTATAAAGAAGATGGAATAATAAACAATTCCCTTTCTTACAGTATACAGGTCTGATTTTTACTTTCTGAGATACTTTAAAGCAGATATTCAATAAAACTCTTTATCATTTATTTTCAGCACTATTTTTTCCTTTTCGCCTCTCTAACACGGCTTCGCGTTAATATACAATATGAATAATAGTCGCTTACAAAGAAGAAGACATGCTGAACATTTACCTCGCTTTTAGTATACAAGCCTGATTTTTAATATATAAAATATTTTAGTCCATATGTTCAAGTAAACTCGTTACTATTTGGTTTTGGACACTATTTTTTCTTTTTTAAGATACACTTTTGAATTATAGCCTATTACAGAGAGAATGAAATGCTGAACAATTCCCTCGCTTACAGTATGCAGGCCCGATTTTTAGTTTCTAAGATATTTTAATCCATATGTAAAAACATTTCAATTAGCCGACTCTAGCCGACTCTACCCGAGCGTTAAAACTTCGGAAATCTGACGGATAAATCTAATTCACTCTCCAAAAAAAAGTGCTAAATGCGCCTAAAGAAGTTTTCACTTCAAAAAATAAATAAAATCGGTCTAGTGGTGGGGGGAAAATCTACGGACAGTGTATGATGGAAGAACTAATTTTTTTGTAATCGAATTTTGGATTATTTGGCTTAAAACGTAAAACCTCAAATTTTGATAGGGTACTTTTTTTTCTTGGTCGATAATAAAGGTTCTTTATTGAAAATTAAAAAAAACAAGATTATATAGATAATGAAGAAAATTACCATTTTTGCACCTAGATCGACGGTGTAAATTATTTATATATTATTCTGCAGTTCTTCGTAGACGTGGGGATGTAGGGTTTAGTATGTTCCATGGTTTAATTCATTAAAAAAAAAAATTAGCAAAAAGAAAGAGTTGTGGTTCGCTCAAATCGTTTAGCTCTCAAATTCAAAACAATAGACAAAATGAGTCCAAATCACTCAATCCGACTAGCAATTTATTTTTTTTTTCACGTATAACTGATCAATCATTCATGTCAAATAAACTGATTGTTTATCTCTAGTATTTAGATGTTTTATATCATTAATAAATTATCATGCTGTTAGACTTGGTTTAATTTAATACTTTTTTTATTAAAATTGTTATGGCTATTTCCTGATACAGGGGAGTTGCTGGTGGCTGGATCGAAAATCTTCAAAACAGTGTCCGGTAACTGTCAATTCAGAAGCGCTGGTGTCACCGATGGAATGGAGTTGGCCATCTTCAGGTGGTAGATGGAAGGTCGTCTACAAGTGGAACCAAGGTCTGTAGCGACTTGAGCATTCCAGTTGGGGTGGGGCTTTTTTTTTATATATATATATAACGGTATTTATTCTTTATGGAAGAAACTCTATGAAATGATGTTTAAATGGTCCTCGATGAGTTTTATATGTAGTTTTTTTAATAGCTGTATATGTTTTATACTTTAAAAAGAGTGAATATTGTGATTGAGTAACATATTTAGCTCAAATTAATCACAAAAACCAATTTTGGAACAATAAAAAAAAATAATTACTTTTTTTATTTTAGGGGCGTTTTATCCAGAAAGCTCTCTCATACAATGACTAAATATCCGAAATAGTTAGAGATTAGCAACAGAAAAAAAAATCAAGAAAATATACATGTGTGCCGGATTTTTTAAAAAAAATCTAATAATGAAGATTATATTTTAATTTTTTTATTTATTTATTCAAAAGCTATTTTCAGAAATCTAATCATGAGATCTGAATGAAACAAAAAGATAATCTCGAAAATAGTTTCCTTAGTGGAGATCAACGTCCTCAATCTGATATTAGCAGAATTCTACCAATTCATAAAATAGATTACATAGTCAAAATAAGATATACAATAACCCTAAATCTAGGATTATTAGTATTAGTTACTGATGGGATAAAATATAAAAATGAATCAATAACGGAGCTTAAGAATTACATAAGAGTAATCCTTTTTAAAGTTTGTAAGCTGATAACCACGATAACAAAATAAAAATATTATTAAGAAAAAAAACGAAAAAGAAAATCGTTGTATGGATACTAAAATTTTTAGTTTTATTTTAGAAGACATATATTCAGACCTTGAACAATTATCATTGTTATGAGAAAAAGTCGAACCTTGTAATAGTTTTGAGTCAAGCCGATTTGACTAAAACGTAAGATGTAAAAAAATAAGAAAATAATCTTTTTATGTTAGTTCTTTTTTTTTTTGGCAGTCTACATACTTTAATGATTAATGTATATATATTTACAAAAATATAAAATAAATAATAATTAATATTATTATTTTTACGTTTATTTAAAAAGTACTTTAGGCAATCGTTAAAAAATTATTAATTCATTTTATTTATTTCTAAAGAACAAGATTAAGGGAGAACGGATAGAGGTTATTAGATAATCAAATCTTCAATTTTAAACTTGGACTTCATTCAATTGAACTAGACCGCCGAGCTCCGAGCTAGTCAATATCGTCTCGACCTATCGAACTGTACTTAAATGGGACATGGGTAGAAAACAAAATAGAAGTCCCTAAACTCAGCGCTAATTCCATCGAAGAAATCCATAAATTCATTGAATCCAGTACTGATGAACAGCGATTTAGGTTGAGTTTTGGACTCCCTACCGGATTCTCGCGAAAATTTATCACTCTTTTTTAAAGAGTTTTATAATAAAAAAAATATAAAATAAAATATTTTCCTATTGAATTGTAGGTTTCAAAACAGAAATAAATATAGATAGAAAGTAAAATGAATATTCAATAAATATGCAAATAATTTGAGAAGTTAATTAGGTTAGATCCACCGATCAGAAGAGCCGATAAACCCGGTGAGTTATCTATGATTAAATTGATGAATTCCATTTATGGATCCATCGATGAGATTTGGGATAACGGCCTGATGGATTTTCGATGTCCGTCAATAAAGAGGCCCCAGGAAGGATAGTTTTCCGCACTCAATAACTGAGGGAATTCGCTCTCTGTCAAAACGTAGAGACTTGAGAGTGTCAATTCCCAAGTTAAAATAACTTTGGAAGGACCCGTGGGTAGTGAGAAGTTGGGAGGATCCACTAGTGATCAGGTTCTACTCATTTCGCTGCTAGTCGGGAATAGATGGTAAATAAATATTTCCTTAGAGAACTTCTTTTGGGGTTTTTACCCATCGCCGGTTTCATTCGTCAAGGATGTACTCTCGCAAGATCTTTTATCTACCAAATCTTGCTTAATCCACACGCGAATATTTTCCGCTAGACCTGCCGAGCATCCTCTCTACGTCTGTTGCCTGACCATATCTTCCTGCAACAGGAGGTGAAGAAGTACTCCACCTGCCAGGATCTGCACTGCTTCATGAGGCACTGTCCTGTCTTTCAGAGCCCTGGTGACTCATAACAGAGGTATCAGCTGAATCGACGCCAACCTGTTCTTCTGGTGATGCGAGAGATTCAGATAGTCAGAGATTAAATAAATGTTGAATAATATATAATTTTATCCACACTTTATTTTAATGTCTTTTTAGATGTTCAAAAAATAAAATCTTGTAGGCCAGACTACAAGCCTCGGTCCTCCTCCTCTCCCAACCCATCGGGCCTGTCAATGAGGACTGTACTGAGCTTAGGAACTTACCCAAACCGGCTATTTTAGTTATACATAAATGGTTTTATGAGTATGGACAGTAAAAAAAATAAATGAAGTTGCATTTTTAAATAAACTTATCATATGATTGATTAGTCATCACAAAGCTCGTTGCAGCACTATCTATGGCCTCTAATCGAAGAGAGATAATTAGATGACCAGCACTTGGTCATCTCTGAAGGTCTTTTTTATCCATTTGATTGCGTATCAAGAAGAGCTTCGTCAGGCTTGCAGATATGTTTTTATACACTACAAAACCCAGCGATTGGTTAATGTAATTATATTGGAATATGTTAAGGAATGATGTTATAAAAGAAATATTTAAAAGATTGATAGAATACCTCTAACGTTACAAAAAAGTATATTTCCATATATTTAACACTTTTTCCATATTTCACAAAAAAAGTAGAACATTTAAGTTTTATGTTTTTTTGTTTTGTTTTTTTAGCAAGTTACGTTTTGGTTGAGTAGGAAGCGATAACTAAAAAATTCTTGATTAAGGCAGTTAATAATTACGTCCTGCTAAACTAGATAAAGTGTATTTTAAACACTAGCGGATTTAGGAATTAATTTTGGGGGGGCTTCAGCCCGAAAGATTTTTTTTTTCATATGCATATAACGATAATTAATTAGACAATAAAAGAAAGAAATTAATTGCCTATATAAAATGGTGTTTAAGTGGGTCTTGAAGTCCTATTAAATGTAATAACACGAACAAGAATACTTAAAGAGATAATTTTTAATATTTTTTTTAGTAAAACATGGTTATATTTTACCATTTTTTGGGGGGGGGGAGGGCTTCAGCCCGAAAGCCCTCCCTGTAGATCCGCCTGTGATTTTAAATGCAAATATAGTTTGTCATTGTTAAAACCTTTTAAGTGGTAAACTGCGCTGTTTTATGAGGAGTTGGTCGGGAGGTGCGGTGAAATGAATACTATTTTAATACATAGTATTCATTTTCTTATGGTGGGAACAGTTCAACAGTTTTTTTTTTGTATTGTTGAAATTACTCTGAAAGAAAAAGAAGAAAATTGTTCATTGTATGTTTAATGAATTCATAAGGTTTATGTAATCGTTGAAGGCAAAAAATAATAATAAAAAGACAGTAATTACTAGAAACAACAATGCTCTCATAGATATTTTAAAAAAATATTTTTTCTTGAAATGTGCTTACATTTAAAAGCACACCAATAGTGTATGATAAATAAACTTCTTTGATATTATATTGTTTATACCGATAAATAAATTGCCTCAATGTTGTTTTTACTTAGAATTTATTGAAAAAAAACAAACAATGACATGCATGTAATACGAGAGTTGTTACTTGTACGAATATGTGAATTAGTTTTAAATTATTTGTGGAATCGATAAATTGTTCTAAGATGCTCAAATGAACCTGCGCTGAGCAAAATGATTCAATTTTACCAGGAAGTAACAAAATCAAATGGAACAGAATCGAATATTTCAAGATAGATCAGATATCAGAATACCATTAACTTCTGTAGCAAACAAAGCACCATAAAACTCGATTATCTTCTACGATACAACTGAAAACTTCATAAAAAGGCAAGGACAACCTAGATCTAAACAATGATATATTTATGAACAGTTATATAATAGATTAACTAAAAATATCAAGTGTAGGAGCAAGTAAAATACGATGAAACTGTTAGGAATATTAACTTCATAATACTATTTATATAGTTTTTTATCCTTGTTTTACTTTTTTTATAGGTAAAGTGGACTGTGATGTTGACTACACTCCTTCAAGAGCGCAGACGTTTAGACTGATATCATGGCAATTTGATGATAACAAGCTAATGCTGTCCTACTCCGCAAATCCGATGAGAATATATAGGGAGCAAGGTTGGAAGATGAAAGTCTTAGGAGGAGAGACTTGGGGGTTCACACCAGCTCCAGATGGATCCTGGACCTTCTCCGTTTACTCCAGTGAGTAAAAAAAAAATTGCTATGATCTTTAACACGTATGTTTTTATTGTGGCAAGACAACTAGTGAGAAAACATTGTATACGGCAACTGCCAAAACATTGTCAAAAAAAAAAAAGAAAAAAAAAGGCCACAAACCTTATTGTCTTGCCTACAATAACTGGTCAATTGTACTACAATAAAAGTAGCCCTCGCCTGGCCACACAAACAACAGTATAGAAAAGTAGCTACGATCCAGAGAACGGCCTATTCAAACAACATAAGCCTTTAAAATCGTACCTCAGCAGGTGAGTACTTTGCAGAATGAATGAATGACTCTTGCCTTCATCCAGCAAGAAGAGGGCGAAGAAGGCATGTCCAGCAAGAAGGCATGTTCTCGGAATTTCGGAAGCCGATGAGGCTTGATAACTTCTAAAGTAGTGACCTCAAAGGAATTACTTCCCTCTAACAATCATAAATGGGTTCTCCATGGTCTCGCAATGCAAACTCAAACTCAAAGGTGTCAAACCTCCATTTTTCAGATGCAGAATTTCGAAGAAGGTCGAAGTCACCGCATTTGGAACGATGTATGCTCCCCAGGAAGACTAAAATCTTGGATTTCACCACCAGCGATCCTTCTCCTTCCTTATGAAAATTACTACACCTACTACGAATCCTTTTTGAACGGATAGAAAGTTATAAGGGAGGGTAGTTCACAAATTATCCAAGAAGGTTTCAGATTCCTAGGCAGAGGAACACTTTGGAAGATGTAGAAAATGAAGGTTCTCTCTCTGGACAGGAATAAGACTATGTTATGTGCAGGAGTTTGTTATTTTGAGACTGCAAAATAGGAATGATGGGAAAAAGTATATTAATTATGTGACCGTGTAGCCAACTGGCAAAAAAGTGATACAAATGAAATTCAATCATACTTATTAGTTTAAGCTACAACATTTTTTTATCCAGGGTTCTATCTGATTTTTGATGTTAGCTTAACGTATCAGAATGGTGATGTCTATTCCATATACGCTGTTCAGCTATCAACTGCATCGGACATCATAGTATTATAAAGTCCTCCAAAGAGTTTCTAAACTTTGAATATTAATAAGTTTAATTTTACACGTCTTGTTTCATCACGCCATTATTCTGACTTAAAGGATTTAGAATTACTTACCGTATGTGAGCAACAAACTCATCTATTATGCATAAGTTTAGAGGTCGTGATAAGATTTTTCAATTATTTTTCTTTTATAGATAAAACTTATACAATTTTTTCCATGATTAACTTTCAATTTATTTTTTCAGGAAACGTCGTCATCAGACCTTTCGAGCGATCTAGTGGTAGTTTTAATCTTCAAAGCAACTAAAAAGCAGAAAGGAATCATCGAATTAATTTTTTTTTCTTCTATGGACCCATCCTTTTATCATAAACTTTCAGGATCCATGAATTTTCAATATTTATTGTTATTAATGTTATATTGTTTTAGTCTAACATTAACCTCTTAAGTACATTGTTAATAAACATATCAATAAATACAAATTTATTTGATTTATCGTGGGCTTATTTTCTTCATACAAGCTACTACAAGGTACTATAAAAAGCCATAGTTTTGTTAAGGGGACCTATACGTGTATAATGAATAAACCCTTCACATTTTTATACGTAAATACGATTTAGGTCATAACACTCTCATTGTTCTTATCAGAAAGAAGGTAAATAAAAAGATATTTAGGCTTGGATCTCGATCGTTTATGGGTTTTTCCGATCAGTGTACCTTCACAATCATATTGTTGCTATAGTTTAATGAGTCAAATGTAAATTTAAATCTTATGAGCTTGTAAAAGTTAGAGTTGAACTAGAAAAAAAAAAAAAAAAAAAAAGAAACAACCCGACTGTGTTATTATATTAAAAACAATTTTCTCACATGTATTGGTGTCAAAAACACGTGTAGCGTTTTCTTTATTTCTAAGTCTAAATAGGCTCTTCTTACTATCGCTTATATGGAAGCACAAAATGAATAATAATCAATCCCGATGTTAACAGTATATAGTTGACATTATTATTATTATTATGTTAAGTGTGAAATATCCGGAATAAACAGCTATGAAGAATATATTCTTGTACGATGGGAACCATTTCGAAGGCCGAATTTTATTAACCGTTTTGGTATGAGAACAAAATGTGGCAGAGGTAAGTAACAAAGTTTTTTTCAAAACCTTTTAAATATATCTTTTTGTTTGGATGTAAAATCTGAATTTTATGAATAATTGATAAAATGTCATCCATGAATTAGAAGATTTTTATACCTACATTTCAGACCAAATCATTCAGATATCGATTATTTTGGTTTCTTTCTAACTAATCGGTTTCTTTAAAGTATCATAACTGTTTTTTGCTCATCGTTAATGAACGTTTTACTATTATTGCTTAAAAATATGTCCAAAGGTTTGACGCTTCATTATCACGAAGACAATAGCTGAATTCATGTCCACTTGGATTGCATTTCATCCCCAAAAACAATCATTCCTTTCATGTTTAAAAATTAAATGGAGCTAATAGTTCAATTTATGTGAGCTTAATTGATCTGTTTTTATACTCGTAATTAGTTTGAATCTAAGAATCCATTCAAATTACGTCTCTACTGAAAAAAGTGCGCTTTACGTAAATCCACAACTGCAAAGAAATATGGTGGAACAATTAACAATGACTGAAAGTTCGTTTCTCATAGTATAGCAGTTTGTTTTTTGCCTTGTTTTTTTTTTCAGTGTTGTGTTTGTTTACAGCCATCAAAGATTTGGCAGCCATAGCTGCATGTTTGCAATCGTATCAGCGGTACTCACGGGTTCGCAACCTTGCCAAATAGCTCCATGAAATCATTCAAGTTCTTATTTTAAGATGGACAACAACTGTGAAGAAAAGGGTGGCGAAGTTTTATTGAAATTTATTTATTCCTTTTTTCAGTTTTTGATAAGATAATAGCTTTGATCGGATAATTGCGAAGCGGTAGGTTTTTGTTTATTAACAAAATTTATTTCTTAGACATTCAGAATATAGCCTGCCTTCTTTAGCTATTTGGGACGCTACGTATCAGAATGGGGACATTCTGAGTCAATTTATAGCAACCATTCGTTTTCTCTCAAACGAGCATAATCATTTATAAATCCATATGATTCATTCAAAATTAGTTTTAAAAATTATTTTACGCTAATTTAATTTATCTCTATCAATGGCAACAAACGGGAACATTTTGTCAAAAAATTGTAAACCTTAAAAAATAAATATAACTATAATCTATAATTGCATCGAAAACTATAAACAAGTGGAAATGACTGCTTCCAAAATTAATCATGTTAAGGAACAATTATTTACTTAATTATTTGATTAGTTTAAAATATTCATGCATTCTAATGATTTAATTACTGTCCAGCCCAATCCCATTTATAAAAATTAAAAGTCTGAACTGAAAGTTTGATGATTTTTTATACTAACAAAGTTCTATGCGAACATTGTTAGTATAAAATCTGACGAACTGAATCCAGTATTTAATTTTGGGGATGGGGGACTTCAACCCGAAAGATTTTGTTTTTGTATGCATATATTAGGATAATTATTTCGGAAGAAAGAAAGAAACTAACAATCTACACGAAAAGGTGTTTAAGTGATTCTTTCAGTCCTATTAAATTTTATTAGACAAACAATAATACTTTTAGAGATAATTCTTTTCATAAAACATGGTTATATTTTACCATTTTTGTGGGGAGGGTCTTTAGCTCGAAAGCTCCTCCTTCCCCCCATAGATTCGCCTGTGGTTCTTTCTTCCTATGGGATAAGATTATACTGGTTTTCTCCATTACTTTATCTATAAAGGTAACGTAACATAATTAGTGGAAAAAGTCTCCTCTTGAGTCGACTCCAATGTCCTCCAATCTTCATGTATTATATTTATATTTAAACATAAGCATCTCTACATGTTCTTGAAGTGTCGTTTTAAAGAGTTCCTGTTTAGTAAAAGCCCCAGTGCTTTAAGCTCCATAGGAGATATTTTCGTGCTGGTTAGATAATCATTCAAAGTGCTCCAGAAAAAGAAAATCGCTTGACCACATCAGAAAAATTCATACTTTGTAGACTTATCCTTTAATATTTTTAAAGTTCAAAAATAATTTTAACATTGTGTAATTTACCTGATTCGCAAATGGCATGCACTTTTTTGTCGTTTTTAGTAATTTTTAGAGTTCGTACACATGTGTGGTTTAAAAGTGACTCAACATTGGGTTGCCTTTATAATTTAAAATGGATTATATTATGCTCAATACATTCTGGTCAATAAATAAAATCCTTTTTACCTATCAAAAGTATTTCCGCTTAGGTACAATATGCTGCCAAAGTTACCAACTGAAGATGAACAAAATTCAATTTGTCAAGAGGAATTTCTTAAAAAAGGGATAATATCTCAGTCTCAGTTTCTTGTTTGCTCATAAACATTTGTGTGTACTAACGTTTTATAAAATTTCAGTGGCAGATTAACGTTCACTCTCAAAATTAAGCTCTTCTGATTTTGTTGACAGTTTATCAGGTGTAATAAAATACATGAAAGATCTATGGGTGCCCATCCAAGGTAGATAGTGTATGAACCTCATTCTCCCCTCCCCCCGTCAAACATATTTTATTGCTTCCCCTTCTGAAAACAATGTAACCGAAAAGAGAATTGGAAAAATGGTAGATCATATAAAATTATGCTTACTGTGGTCTTTCCATATCTTTCCCCCTTGTTCTCTGATTTGAAATTTTCCATTCCGGAAATTCATAACCCCGTCAAAATGTGCCCCCTTCAAAAATTCAAAACCCCCAACAAAATGTGCTCTTCTCAAAGGCAACTTCTCAATTTTGCTTGGGCATCCCTTAAAATATCCATATAGCGTTAAATTAAAGTTCAAACCTATTAATTCACATGGTATCAGAAAAGAACAGATTCTTAAATAAATTGTACGTTTCTCAACTTTTCCTAATGCGCCAACTCTCATCTACTTTAAAAAAAACGGTAAGGGTATGTTCTTCGCAATATTTCCATTTCAAATCTATCTTTTAGCTGATAAATTATCTATATTTTATGCCTCGATTTCATAGGTAACCACTGGTCTAATTAAGGTTTTATAAATGAGAGCCTTAGTGATGCGAGATGCCAGGTTAGCCCATATCAGGGTTTGCAATACATAGTATGCTCTGTTAGCCCATATCAGGATTTGCAATACATAGTGTGCTCTATCACCTGTTAAAATCCTTCTTTTTATTCCTTCGTTGGCTGGTGGTGTTACTACAATCCACGGTACGCAAAAGTAGACACTACTTCATTATTTTCACGAGCAATGACGTATAAAGCAGAATGTTATCTTCTTATTCTATCAAGAGTGCTACCTTCTTTGGCTTTTCGATCTTCAGGTATAAATCAATATAATTGATTTCTCTATTCTATTTTCCTATAACATTTTCTGTTTTCGTTGTTGTTGTCTGGTGTGAAACGATCATTTCTTTTTTGTGGACTCCACACACCCAAATGCTTCACACACCGATATTATCAGTCTTACTTTGTTTCACCTATCGTAGATAATTGGTTCTAAATCTCTCTCCATATGAGATACTTGTGTTTTTCATACTTGCTTCAAAGAGTATAGCAGTTTCTTCCATTTTGAGTTTGTTAGTACTCCATATTCTTCTAGATGCTCAGGGGAAAATTTTATTGGCCCTTGTTTTTAGATTGAATTTTATCAAGAGTGGGTAGTAATCTGACTAAATCCATGGATCCCCGAAGTTCCTTACATCCATTACATAGCGATAATGTCTTGGCTCTAGAGAAAAATGGTCGATTTGATTTTTACTTTTCCATCTGGTGCATGTTTATTGTGTTTGTATATGTTCTTATTTGGGAATACTGTCCCCATTACAATAGACATTTTGGAAATTGAAAATTGGATAAGTCGTTCGCAATGTTTGTCTTCTACTTTTCAGTATTGACATCCAATTTACATGCTCCGATCTTTATGTAGTATTGAGATCTGGCGTCATATAATCTTTCTCATTTCGAGTAGAAATCCTCCTTCTTTCTTCACCTTAATCTTATGAGGATACACGCACATTATTTTTTCTTATATTAATTAAGTAGTCTTCCACGCAATCTTATCTTTCTGTACAGTATTAACTTGCTAAACTCAATAGTTGCATTTCAGTGTTTAATCCTGAGCAGAAAAATATATCCAAACTTCTCCACTTCCGCTATATTTTAGAGTATAGCCATTTTTCTGAAGCATGCTTATTCTAACCATTGAACTTGTTGAAGAGCCACTGTATCAAAATCATATTTAGTGCACTCTAGTCTAGGACTCTAGGTCTAAAGTTACCTCACGTTCTAAATTACCAGTCTACATCTTGATTTGCTCATCTGGCGTAAGTGGAGTCTGCGTGTCAGTCCAAAATCCGGAGCATATTTGTTGAAATTATACAACAAAAGTGTTTATATGTAAATGGGGTTATCACCTCTATGCTACAATTCTCCTTATCCGAGCTTGGGGGTGGGTGTGCGTTCCGCAAAGTGGTTTTTATAAGTGGAGTTGGATTAATCCATTAGTGACTGTGGGATATTTAAGGGATACTATGGATGCGTGATTGCCTAAATTGCTTTGTAGATTGATTGACGTTTATGATTACTGCTCCGTAAAGAATTGGTAAATTTTATAAGAATAAAACATTCCAGATACCATGAAAATGATGTAGTTATAATTCGGCAAATATTAGTTTAGTTTTCGCGATTAGCGTTTACAAAAGAAAAAATGGCTCTTTCGTGTAATATAGAATGATGACTGTTATTATATTACATGCATTGATCACAGATAATGAATTCAAGTCCAAACAAAAGTATCATTTCAAAAGAAATCGTAATGGTACGTAATGTGACACGTAGTATTTTTTTTAGCTTTATTGCGATGTTGAGCTGAGAATCGAATTTTTAACAATAGAATTGTTTTAACATAAGTTAATTATTAAAATGAACTCGGTGAGTCAATAATGAACTACTTAAATTGAAAGTAATATCAGCTGATTAGGCTCACATAAACGGATGATTCAATGAGCTGATGATTATTTTACTCATTTAAGTATTTCTGAAGAAAACGATAACGTTTGAGTTGGTTTCGCAATGGTAACGAGTTAAACAAAGCGAGGAGTAGAAAATAGAGGGCTACTAGACTACAGTAGACTCATCCATTTCGGTAATGTCCAATAGATTTAAATGTTCAAGTCCACTTTAGTCCAGATAACTCTAGGAATTACCTCTTCATTTAAGTTTGTAAGTAGCGGGGGGAAATAGGCGGGATCGATATAGGTGACAGCTGATTCTGCAAAACCTTCCTCCACAGTAAGTCAATTTTCCAAGTTAGCAGTGAGTTCATCTGATCCTTCGTAGATCCATAAGCAACTGAGATAGTTGCTCATTAACCTTAAATATGATTACGATAGTACCGAAGTCCCTCCAGTGAGTATTAATTTAGCAGAAAACAAGTGTACTTGCAACTACATTTATCATAATTGCCAGCCATATGTAACTAATTAATAATGCTTTCCCATTTTCTGATCTGTGATTTATATTTAATTTTTTTTTTTGCATTAAACACAATGTATCATTATATTCAAGTTAGTGATTATGTATTAACAGTAGGCTGAATTAAATTTATTGTTTGTTAAATTTTCACCTTAAATGCTTTTGACAAAGCACGCTTTGTAAATATACAAATTTAATATAACATTTTTTTAACTGGAATTTGGATTTGTTTGAAATAATTTGTTAATTACTAATAATTTAGTCATAGTCAAACATGATGTATGGTATGAATAGAAATAGTTCTACATCCTTAAATCACTGATTTATTAAGCTTATAATAGTGTTAATTTTTATAATTGAAAGAAATCTTTCTTAAATTCAATATATATAGTTACTTTTAAAAGTAAAATTTATTGTTGTATGGTAAAGACAGTTTGATATAACTATATTTAAATAACTGTTTACTTAAGTAGTAAGCATTGTTACCTAGTGAATATTCCTGAAGAAGTTTGATGATGCATCTCCTAAATGTAATAATTTTTACAGTTTGTGACTCTTTTATTTTTGAAAATAAAACAAGTATTATTTTATTTGGTTTATTTTTGTACTAGCTTATATAAATCCTTTATACCTGTTTAAAATGTACCCTGTCTAATAAATTCAGTTAATACTCAGAATATTTTAGAATTCAGGTCATAGTATGAAAATAATTATTTCTAGCTTGATATTTTTTTTTAGTTATTTAATTATTTTTATCTCTGACATCTCGTGTTAATTTAAATTATTCTTAAATATTTGTTTTACCTGGTTGCTCTCATATATTCATTTCAAGTGTTTTTGTCTCTCTTCCCTTTTTTAAATTTATTTTAATTTAAGAGAAATTATTTTTCATTGTTCAGATATCCTTGTTTTCTCTTATTTAAACAGTACTTCTAGTATTGGTTTAAATATATCTAGTATTCCACCTAGTCACAATAAAATATTATCTTTATTCCTCCAAGTATCCAGGGATTTTCTTCTTTAGCATGTGACTTCATATTTATAGAAATAGATATTGTTAGTTGTATTGGTAAGAACTATTGTAATGGCTTATCTGAAGTACATATTTTCTTTTCCTCATTTATTGCTTTTTATCATTATTTACCTCTAAAGATAAGAAGTTTTAATTTTGACATGTGCTCTTTTCAAAGGTAGGTGCTACATGAACTAAGTTTTCATTTGTTCATTCTATTAAGATTTATTTATATTGTTTTATTAATTTTAGGACAAATGTTGGGCTCAGAGCATTGGGACGAGTATTGACTTTTTTAAGTAAAAACGAAGTTGATTCCCAACGACATTATCATGAGGCTACCGGAGATGTTATTTCACCTGGTCTTATGCAGGGGATGGACCATATCAGGAATCCCCGGTTAAATAAGGTGATCCGTTTTTGTCATATTAAAAATAATTTTTGGTGTATGTTTTATTTAAGATATTCTTCTGTAGTCGCATGATCCAGTTTATTTTATGACCATAATACATTTTTCATGTTATTTTCTACTTATTAGGATTCTAATCTGAGTGGGAGCGTTAAAATTCATTTTGGGGAATGGTGGCAAAATAAATATTTACTAATCCAGGAGGGAATACAAGTTATACCACTCTAAACCAGGTTCTCTGGAATTTTCACTTCAATGAGTTCTGCTATCATGTCTTTCAATTCATGTCCTGATCTATTTAATTATCACATTAGGTATTTTTTAATAGTAAATTACTTGTTCTGTCATGTTTGGATCCTGCACTGTTTGATAAACTGTATTGTATCATTCTAGCTTACTAGTGTGAGAACTCTGGCAGTAGATATCTATTTTTCATATTCTTAATACATTCAATGTTTAAGTGATATTAGGGAATCATTTATTCATAATAACAATATTATATCACCAAGAAAACCAATGCAACACACAATTGGTGAAACCACACACTTTACGATAACAATATTGAAATAACAGGTTACTTGATATGCAATTTGTTTGCCCCACTGGAAAATTTGCCTTTAGTTAAGCAATAAGATTCAGCTATTCATAAACTTTTATTAACCTAGTATTGTACTCACTTAGACCAATTGGATTGGTCAGAGAACACCAGGATCCGTAGTTTGCAATTATCTCACTTAAAAAGAGTGGAATATAGATGCTAATTCTGGATAAAATGTATTATTTTAATTTTTTAAAACAAACGAAATGTGATGAGTACCTCTTGGCATATAGCAGTTGCAGGCTATCACTATAATTTGGATAGTTGCAAGATTGTATACGTTAAGTTTTGTTTGTTCTGTGTGAGTCTTGATGTCTGTCCTCAAATTTGTAAAAACCTGATTTGTTCTGACCCAATCTGCCTACTTACTACTGTCAGAGTTCTGATATCACTTAAATTATTTATTTCACTTTTATAATAGTATTATTACAAAGTTAATGTTAAAGTTATATTCACATTTTCAAAATACTCCACTTTCCTAGAGACTGTTATAGACAGAAAAAAACAAAAAAAAACAGATTTTTAAACTCTCAATTTAGACTTCCACTAATAAAATTATTTCTGTAAATAAAATTTTCCTGGCTTAAGATTCAGTTTAAATTTTAATTGAACTAGTTAAATTAAAATGAGGAATTATTATAATAGAAAAATAATCATTCGCTTCATATTTTAAAGTGAAAAGCTTAGTATATGAATGTTTCCTTCTGTTGCTATATGTATTTACAGGATTCATTTAATTATTTGATTATCATTGTTTCATGACTAAAACATCTGAGTCGCTGGGAATTTACAATCCTTACAATGTCTTGATTCCCAGAATGAGGTTGTATACATCTTAATTTTGTGTTCATTCAAAGAAAGTGTGATTGAGTTGACTTTTTAAAACTAAAATATGTTCTTTCCTATCACAAATTATTTTTTAAATTATTAATTTATTTATAATTATTAATTTATAATTATTTATATTTATTTTATAACAATTTACACTTCATGATCCTAAACTATTTTTTTTAACTTTAAAAATGCTATGATAAAAAAAATGTCTGTCTTTTTTTTACCCCTTTCATATCCAACTGGAACTTAACCTATAATTATAAAGTGGATAAACACCATATTTCACTCACTTATAGACATATTTTGAACTTAATAAAAGTACAGTAATTTTATACTACAGACTATTCAGCGATGCCCATCTTCCCCATGTCAATGGCTTATGTTCCCCCTCCAAGAAATTTTATTGCTCTCCTCTTCATAAAAATCGTACAAGTATAATCAAAGTATAATCAGAAAATTTGTTTCCTGGTTGGAAATTCCTAACTTGCTTTTTTCATCTCCTTTCTACCTTACTATATTTTTTCTTTACTCTATGTATTTTCTCATTACTTCCTGTTCTGTTTCGTTCTTCTCCCTGTATTTATTTCATTTTTATTTTTATGATAGTCATTTATTTATTTTCATGATATGCTAGTATTTTTCTCCCTGCAATATTTCCAGTCCGTAAATTGTATTTTGGTTTTGTAAATTCATTATTTGTTTCATATTGTATTTGACTTACTGGTTAAGTGGAGCCTTTTTTGACCAGTTGTTAGTTATTATAATTTTTTACTTTTAATATTTATCATACTTTTTGTACTTCTATTTATATCTATCTCTTTTGTCTTGCCATTCATCATTCCTTATTTATCTGTTTATCTTCTATCATTATATCTATTATTTTGGCTGTTCTTTATAATGGCCTACCACGTAGGCAAAAACATTATATAAATTTTTTAAATTATTTTTAATACATATGTGTTAATACTTTTTTTTTTATTGTCATCAGCTCTATATTTTCCTTGATTACCAACCCAATTAACTATTGAATATGTGATGAAATATCTTTTGTTTCCTGCAATAATATGCTTTATTATTTCATGCTCTGTCTGAGCTGTTGATATTAGCTCAAAGATGATTGAAACTTTTTACTTTTCCATATTCGCCATCGGACTGATCTGCCCTCACCATCTTATGGTAGGTGTGGATACCCCAAGGTATTTTGTCTTATTTGCAATAACCTGAACCCTAATGACTTAATTTGCATCATCCAATTCTCATAATTAGCTTTAAATGTTGCTTTCACTTTGTGCTATTTCTTTGCCTCATCATCAGCAGATGGCAACATGAAGCCTCCAAAAGCTTGCAATCATGTTATTTTGTTTACGATAAAGCCTTTTACTTCTAGCTCTCTTTGCTTTACCCAAAGCAGTAATGAATGTTGTGAAAGACAGGCATCTCTCTGCCACTGCTCGACTGATTGCTCCAGTGTCTTGACTTGGGCTTGGCCATGACTAAATGTCATCTAAAAAGATTTATAATTTTACTACGTTTATTTTGAATTCCTGTAAAACTTAAAGAAGAACAGGTTGCAAATATCTTTCAAACGCCTCCTGAAACTCAATAATAATAATAATAATAATATCCACATTGAGACATGCAAACAAAAGTCATGATATTTTTATTGGATTAACCTTGGTCCAAATATCCAATCAAGGGTGCTTCTTTCTAGCCTGAAGCCACATTGGTAGCTTAATATTAGGGTTATTCATGTAAACAGTGCTAAGTGTTCTAAACCTTTTGAATGTGTTAAAGCTGAAAAACGTATTCAAGATTTGTGTGTTAAATATGGCTGTCAGCACACTTGATTTTAACGTGGTTTGGGGTCTGTTAAAACTTTCTAATTTCATAAATGTGGGAAGAATGTTTTTTTTTTTTTTAATCTTCTCTTTTATAATTTTGTTTTAAATGAAATGATGGAAAATTTGATGAAGCTCGAGGTGAATGTTTTTTCTTTTAAAAAAAAAGAAGAAGAAAGAATTCCTTATAAATTTGTGGTTGCCACTTATTGGGTAATAGTATTCAAATTAAAGGAAAATAGGCCGTTAAAAATAAAAATCATCCAGTAAAACCAAAGTTATTGGGAGTAAAGGTTTCAACAGGTGTTATAACACTTTAGTACAAGAAGTCATTCAATTTAAATTCATGCTGACTGTTCAGCACAATAACACTTTAAATATTTATGGCAAGTAACGTGAATACCCCTAATATTTCCTCTAAATGTGCTGAGCCGATTAATTAAATGCAACTATGTAATTTTCATGATTTATGTACCAACCTTAAAAAGAATAAAATACTTAATGTTATTTAAGTATATTTTGATTTTCTTTTTTCTTTTATAATGTCTTAATAAATATTTTTATTCAATTGGTTTATTTTAGGGATTGGCTTTTACTTTAAAAGAACGACAGGCTTTGGGGATCCATGGTCTTATGCCTCCACGATTCAAAACTCAAGAGCAACAGATCGCTGTTTGTTTGTATTCTGTTAATAAATACCAAGAAGATATTAACAAATACATGTACTTAGCAGAACTACATGTAGGTTTTCTCTTATTTTGAAAAAAAGTTTTATGTTATATCTATTTTAAAATTGTTTTTAATTTCATTTGTTTTGTAATTTATTACAGGACCGTAATGAAAGATTATTTTTTCGTTTACTTTCTGAGAACGTAGAAAATTTGATGCCGATCGTTTATACTCCAACTGTTGGTCTGGCATGCCAAAAATTTGGTTTAATATACAGGCGTCCTAGAGGCCTTTTTATCACAATTCATGATAGAGGTCATATATATCAAATTTTAAAAAATTGGTAAGAAAATTTATGTTTTCAATATGCTATTATGTTTAAAATGATTAAATTTGTCACAATTCTCATACTGTATTTGCTCTAATTAATTGATTAGTTTAGTTATAACTTGACAGATGTTTTCTCTTAAAATTAGTTATATTGAAAGGACATAGACATTTTGGTGGGTTCACAGCTGAATTATGTGACAATGACTACTGATTCAGTCTGAGATAGTGGCACATTGTAATATGATCATATTAATTTATTTTTCTGTATCAGGCCAGAACCTGATGTTCGAGCAATAGTTGTTACTGACGGAGAACGAATATTAGGTCTTGGAGACCTGGGAGCTTGCGGGATGGGTATTCCTGTTGGAAAGTTGTCCCTCTATACAGCTCTTGCTGGTGTTAAACCTCATCAGTGCCTTCCTATTACTATTGACGTAGGAACAAACAATGAGGTATCGTTGACAGTAACGAGTTAATTTTTAAATATTATTTTTCTTTATTTTCAACAAATCTTCATTAATTATTTTTTTAGAAATTCCTTCACGATCCTTTGTACATTGGTCTGAGGCAGAAGAGGCTTTTTGGACCTGCATATGATGAACTGATTGATGAGTTCATGCAAGCAGCTGTTAAACGATATGGGTCAAATGTCCTTATTCAGGTAACTGACTCTTAAATTTATTCTTATATTATAGTTTAAAGAATTCGGCTTTGGCTACTGATTCTCCAAATTCAGTTGATCATAATGTAATCCTTTAATAAATAGTTAACTACTCCTATTTGATCATTTTTTGACCAATCCAAATTGTTTGCAAATTGGTAGAACATTAAAAAATCTTGATACCATGATTTTTTAATTTACATTTCGATATTTTATTGTTTTCAGTTTGAGGACTTTGGAAATCACAACGCTTTCAGGTTCCTTGACAAGTACCGTGATAAGTACTGCACTTTTAATGATGATATTCAAGGTACTGCGTCTGTTGCTGTAGCTGGTTTGTTAGCAGCTAGGAGAATCACTAAGAAAAAAATATCTGATAACAAGTTTGTGTTCCTTGGTGCAGGAGAGGTATTATTTTGTTTATTTCATGTATTTTACTATTAAAGATACTATAACTATTAAAGATACTATAAATACTATTAAAGATTCTTCTTGTTTTTCTTTTTTTATTAGGAAGCTTACATTTATAATTTTTTCATATTTAAGGCAATAAAACTTCAAATTTTCCTCATATTATTTTAATTGTGTTTGTTGTCTCTTACGTTTCGGGATAATTTTCCCATTATCAGAGCAATCTTTATTTTTAATTTCTTTTTTTTATGTGGCACCATTTGTCAAAAATTAAATATTTGTCACATTTTTTAAAAACTATTTCTTGGTGTTACACATATTCTTCATTGTTACACTAATCAACATCTGCCCTTGTTGGGCAAACATAATTAAAAAAATATGAAGAAAATTGGAAATTTTATTGCCTTAAATATGAAAAACCTATTAAAGATATTTTTATTCATTCTTTTTTGTTCTTGAAAAATTGAAATTTTAATTATTGTTATTAAAAAATTTCTAATTTCTTTGTTCTTATTGGATTTTTTTGTGTGGATTTAATTAATTGTATTGATACACTTTCACTAAATAATAACTATTTATTAATAAGTTTAAACATAGGACATCTTAGTAATTTTTAGGGCACCATTAATAACAATTCATATTTTATAAATCTTTGATTTCCTTATATTTTTTTAATGTTCAGTAACTTCTTCAAGGAGGCCATTACAATTTTTTATCCCTGTTATATACGAATCCCGTCTATGATATGTTAATTATGTTCTGTCATGAATTTAGTCATTTGTACAGACCACCTCTTGTCAAATTATTAATATCTGTCTGAAACTTTATGAATGGCTTCATCTTATGGTAACCTACAACATTTTTATTTATGAAAATTCTCTGATATGGGGAGTCTTCAATCTGGAGATCGGTAAACTTTGACTTTTTAATGAGATTCTTAAAACTCATGAACATCCATTTGCTTTGCAATTGTATTGTAAAATAATTTTATCACAAAATCAAGATAAATGGTAATTTGCAAAAGAGCCATTTGGCGTAACCTTCACCCACAACTTTTGTAAATAACGAGTTTATATAGGGTAAAAGGACCAATATTTCTGTAGACAAATTTTTTTTTTCAGATTAATTTATGGTTTCAAGTGGAAACCAATGTGTGTTCATGAGATTTTAGTATCTCATTAAATTAATTAATTTGATGAGAAAATGCCCCGTTTTCGAAAATAGAAAAGTTGTAGGTTACAATATGATGAAGTCATTCGCAAAGTTTTAGGTGGTTGTTAATAATTTGATAACTGCTCTAGAAAAATTAATTTAAAGTTTCAAGTATCACTTTGCTGTTTTAGGCAGCCATTGGAATTGCAAACTTATGTGTTAAAGCAATGCAATCGGAAGGCACTCCACTTCTTGAAGCGAGAAATAAAATTTGGATGATGGATATTGACGGTTTATTGGTTAAAGGCCGACCCGAAGGAAGATTAGAAGGTAAACTACTTTTATTGCTATTTAGTAAAGATGATCATCAATTAACTGTTAGATTTTGGTATACTGCTATGGCATATTGAGATGGGCATCTAGGGATGGTATACTGTTAGATTGGTATGTATGGAGGTGACCCTGTCGATAATTTATTCATGAAACATTAGAGATTTATCTCCCTCTATAGTTGTTAAAAACATTATACTGTCAAGGTAGTTCAACGTTAAAAATGATCCTGTGATGTTTTAGAGAATTTATAGAACTTTTTTAGCAGCTAGAAAAAGTATGACTTCAGTTTATAAATTTAGCGTAGGTTCAAAAGCCTAGGATTAACTGTCATCAGCTTAAATGGGTACTTGTGAGCGATGCGACCTCTATGGACTGCTATCTGCAGTTATCTTGTTATTTAAAGTGTTGTTGTAATTTATATTTCTTATTATTAAATTACTATATTATTATTATATTTATATTTCTTATTAATATATATACTGATATTTTTATATATTTATATATAGTATAATTTATATATAGTATATATAAATATATATATATACTGAAAATGCTTTTAGTAATCGAAAATTATTAATTACAAGAATAGGATAATATATATATCTATATAATAAGAAACAGGCAAAAAAGAGGCAACACCAAATATATTTATATTTCTTATTACACGAGAGTCTAATTTCATATGAAGATAGGAATTATTAGTGCCTTATAACAATTATCAGTGTTCAGGTTATAAACTTTTAATAATAAGAAATATAAATAGCAACAACAACACTTTAAATAACAAGATAATTGCAGATAGCAGTCCATAGAGGCCGTGCTTCGCTCACAAGTACCCTTAAATGGAATAAATTGGCTTATATTAATTATAATGAAATTGTTGTGCTATTGATTGATTTTTAAACTTGATTATTTTTTTTACAGAAATGGTTCTATCAATTATGAATATTATTAAATTTTTATCACATCAATATAAAAGTTGAAAAAAAATTTTAAAAAATGATTATTTTGAGATAACTTTAGATTTTAATTTTTAAAATAGTAAAAAATTTCCTAATTTCAGTTCAGAGTTATTCAAAAGACCAATGAATATCTTAGAAAAATGTTTTAATAGCAGAAATTTTGTTAGTTAAAGTAATATTAATTACCAACAAATTTAGTCATTAATATAATACTAATTGTTTGTTGAGTTAGACTCAAGCTTTTAATTTATTTTATTCTTTTGTTTCCGCACTACCAATGATAGGAAAGTTTGTATTCATGCTAGAGGTTAAATAATTTTTCTTTTTAGTAATTGAAAATTTTTAATTGTATTTCAGATATCTTGGAATAAATTTGGTTCCTTGTAAGTCTGTGTTTGATTTTTAAGAAACTTTTTATAGATTGTGCTTGTTATTAGTTACATGGTCCGTTTAGTATGATTACGGTCTACTACTTTTGCATATGCTCTCATACATTTTCATATAACTGCTTTTGTGTGAAAGTTATATAATTAATAAATGAAAGTTATATATCTTGAAATATACATAATCACATAACCCAAAAAATCATGAAGAAGGTATATTGAATATACTGGGAGGTATTTTTACTACTTACTGATATATTTTAATAGACATAAAAATTATAAATCATCAATCAAATCACTAAAAATGTTATCATATAATTGTTAGTTGAAATCATATTTTATTACATTACTACTCACTTAAGTTTTATGGAATCTTTAAATGCTGATATAGATAAAAGTATTTCATATCTTTACAGGCCATAAAGCGCTTTATGCTAAGGAGCACGAAGTAATGAAGGATCTTTATGAGATCGTCAAGGAGGTGAAGCCTTCGATATTGATTGGTAAGTTATTTTTTCATTGTATATTTAAGTCTTACCTATATTTAGTTTCATGTGATAAAGAGGGCATCGCAGGTTCTCATTCCTAACTTCCTTTTACGAAAAATAAACCAAGATGACCTATATAAGTATTTTTAATGTATAGATATTAGTACTTAAAAACAAACATTAAATTTTCCATAGGTTAACTTATTTTATAATGAAGATTATTCACTTATAACTGCTGTCTGTTTGTATCTGTTACAAGGTTATCATCCAGTATTCATTATGCAACAGTTTTCTTTTTATTTCAATCTAGAAAACAATAGTGAGAAAATTCATTTGATAATGTTTATCTTGATCATCATCTACATTTGTATAAAATATATTTATGGATTTTATAAATATAGTGCATTATGTTAAAAACATTGAAATGAATAAAAAATCATTTCTATAAATTAATGTATTTTTTTTAATCAAATATTTCATTCATTGTTTAATGATTTTTTTTTGTGTAGTCTCCTTGAAAACCACTGCTTAAACACATGTTTAATTTTTTAAAAAATTAAATATTACCGATAATTTTCTTAGCAGTATATACCAGTGTTGGGCAAAAATTATCTATAGCTAACAGATAACAGATAACAGCTAAATTAGCTATTAGCGGGCAGATAATTCTGCAACTAAATTAGCTATTAGCGGGACCAAGCCGCTAACTTTTAGCGCAAGTTAACTTTTAGCTGTTCTTACCGCTAACCGCTAATTATCTTTATCTGTATCTTCAACTAAAAGCTAATAGCTAATTCTTCGGATTTCATTGGTCTTAGAGTCGACTATTAGGTTTTGGGGGCGCTTTTTATGAAAATAATGTCGGATTTTAGGTGTGACCCTCCTCCCCCCCCCCCGGGAACCGACTTATCGTAACTTTTCTGATTTATTCGATATCAGGGTCGACTATTAGGTTTTGGGGGGCGCTTTTTATGAAAATAATGTCGGATTTTAGGTGTGACCCCTCCTCCCCCCCCCGGGCACCGACTTTTTGTAACTTTTCTGATTTTATCGATATATGGGTCGACTATTAGGTTTTGGGGGGCGCTTTTTATGAAAATAATGTCGGATTTTAGGTGTGACCCTCCTCCCCCCCCCCGGGAACCGACTTTTTGTAACTTTTCTGATTTATTCGATATCATGGGCCGACTATTAGGTTTTGGGGGACGCTTTTTATGAAAATAATGTCGGATTTTAGGTGTGACTCCTCCCCACCCCCCGGGAACCGACTTTTTGTAACTTTTCTGATCTATTCGATATCAGGGCCGACTATTAGGTTTTGGGGGCGCTTTTTATGAAAATAATGTCGGATTTTAGGTGTGACTCCTCCCCCCCCCCGGGAACCGACTTTTTGTAACTTTTCTGATTTATTCGATATCAGGGCCGACTATTAGGTTATGGGGGGCGCTTTTTATGAAAATAATGTCGGATTTTTGGTGTGACCCTCCTCCCCCCCCCCCCCGGGCACCGACTTTTTGTAACTTTTCTGATCTATTCGATATCAGGGCCGACTATTAGGTTATGGGGGGCGCTTTTTATGAAAATAATGTCGGATTTTAGGTGTGACTCCTCCCCACCCCCCCGGAACCGACTTTTTGTAACTTTTCTGATCTATTCGATATCAGGGCCGACTATTAGGTTATGGGGGGCGCTTTTTATGAAAATAATGTCGGATTTTAGGTGTGACTCCTCCCCCCCCCCGGGAACCGACTTTTTGTAACTTTTCTGATCTATTCGATATCAGGGCCGACTATTAGGTTTTGGGGGGCGCTTTTTATGAAAATAATGTCGGATTTTAGGTGTGACCCCTCCCCCCCCCCCGGGCACCGACTTTTGTAACTTTTCTGATTTTATCGATATATGGGTCGACTATTAGGTTTTGGGGGGCGCTTTTTATGAAAATAATGTCGGATTTTAGGTGTGACTCCTCCCCCCCCCCCCGGGCACCGACTTTTTGTAACTTTTCTGATCTATTCGATATCAGGGCCGACTATTAGGTTTTGGGGGGCGCTTTTTATGAAAATAATGTCGGATTTTAGGTGTGACCCCTCCTCCCCCCCCCGGGCACCGACTTTTTGTAACTTTTCTGATTTATCGATATATGGGTCGACTATTAGGTTTTCGGGGGTGCTTTTTATGAAAATAATGTCGGATTTTAGGTGTGACCCCTCCCCCCCCCCGGGCACCGACTTTTTGTAACTTTTCTGATATAATCGATATATGGGTCGACTATTAGGTTTTGGGGGGCGCTTTTTATGAAAATAATGTCGGATTTTAGGTGTGACCCCTCCCCCCCCCCGGGCACCGACTTTTTGTAACTTTTCTGATTTAATCGATATCAGGGCCGACTATTAGGTTTTGGGGGGCGCTTTTTATGAAAATAATGTCGGATTTTAGGTGTGACCCCTCCTCCCCCCCCGGGCACCGACTTTTTGTAACTTTTCTGATTAATCGATATATGGGTCGACTATTAGGTTTTGGGGGGCGCTTTTTATGAAAATAATGTCGGATTTTAGGTGTGACCCCTCCCCCCCCCCGGGCACTGACTTTTTGTAACTTTTCTGATTTAATCGATATCAGGGCCGACTATTAGGTTTGGGGGGTCGCTTTTTATGAAAATAGTGCCGGATTTTAGGTGTGACCCCCCCGGGCCTCGACTTTTTTAAATCTTTTTGATTTAATCGATATCAGGGTCTACTCTTATGTTTTCGGGAGCGCTTTTTATGAAAATGATATCGAATTTGAGATTGGGCTCCCCGGGCCTCGACTTTTTTTAACTTTTCCGATTAGATCGATATTAGGTTCGACTATTATGTTTTGGAGGGAAATTTTTATGAAAATGATATCAAATTTGAGATTGGGCCCCCGGGCACGACTTCTTTTAACTTTTTGATTAAATCGATATTAGGGTCAACTCTTATGTTTTGGAATTTGCTTTTTATGAAAATGATATCGGAATACGCCCCCCAAAACCTAATAATTGACTCTAATATCGCTTAAATCTGAAATGTTACAAAAAGTCGGAGCCCGGTGGCACTATCTCAAAATTCATGAAAATGATTCGTATTCCGATATCATTTTCATTAAAAGCGCCTCCTAAAACATAAGAGTTGACCCTGATATCGATTTAATGCAAAAAGTTAATAAAAGTCGAGGCTTGGGGAGCCCAATCTCAAATTCGATATCATTTTCATAAAAAGCGACCCCTAAAACATAAGAGTCGACCATGATATCGAGTTAATCCAAAAAGTTAAAAAAAAAGTCAAGGCCCGGGGGGTCCAATCCCGAATTCGATATCATTTTCATAAAAAGCGCCCCCCAAAACATAAGAGTCGACCATGATATCGACTTAATCCAAAAAGTTAAAAAAAGTCGGTGCCCGGGGGGGGGAGAGGTCACACCTAAAATCCGACATTATTTTCATAAAAAGCGCCCCCCAAAAACTAATAGTCGACCCATATATCGATTATATCAGAAAAGTTACAAAAAGTCGGTGCCCGGGGGAGGGGAGGGGTCACACCTAAAATCCGACATTATTTTCATAAAAAGCGCCCCCCAAAACCTAATAGTCGACCCATATATCGATTATATCAGAAAAGTTACAAAAAGTCGGTGCCCGGGGGGGGGAGGGGTCACACCTAAAATCCGACATTATTTTCATAAAAAGCGCCCCCCAAAACCTAATAGTCGACCCATATATCGATAAAATCAGAAAAGTTACAAAAAGTCGGTGCCCGGGGCAATTTCCATAAAAAGCGCCCCTGATTACATAACAGTCGATCCTAATATCAATTAATAAAATGAAATAAATAAAATTTCCTCTAGTGTTAGCGTTAAGTTAGCTTTTAGTTAAGTTAATAGATAATTTAGCTTAAGCTAAAAGTTAGCGGTTCGTTTCCGCTAATAGCTAATTTAGCGCTAAAGTTATCTGCGCTAAAACAGCTGGAAGCTAAATTAGCGTAATATTTAGCGCCGCTAATTTTAGCTGTTTAGCGGTACGTTAGCTAGTTAAAAATTAGCGCGCTAACGCCCAACTCTGGTATATACTGTGATATTTTTAATGATTCTCTATACATTAATTTATATCTTAGGCTTGTTGAGCTCTAATTGATCTCAATTCAATCATTACTCTTTCCAACAGATTAATTTGGTTAGAATTTGTAAGTTTATAGGTTATGTATTGAAACTTTGACAAGATCATTGGGAAAAAAAAATACTGATAATGTAATGAATTTTACAGTTTGATTAGATCCTAATATTTAACAGGAAATCTTCTGCCTCTAGACTAAGATAAACTCTGACATCTAGCATTTTATATAAAATCTCGTCTTGACCTTTTATTACTTATTAGATTCTTTTTGTTATTATTTACAATAATATTGATAAATTATGTAATTACGGATCAAAATTGCATTTATTCTTATAAGTTTCAGTTAAGCTTATGGATATACAACACTGCATTGATTTTGTATAATAAGATGTAAAAAGCATTTTAATTGATGACAATTTTACTTAAATGCCATTCAAAGTTTAAATTAAACATTGGGTACAAGTTAAGTATCAGAAATAATAAAAAATTAATGCAGTATTTCTGATATATAGAGTTATAGAAATAATTTGTTAACAAACCTTCATGCTGATTTTTTGTAGTGAGCCATAGATTAATAGATGTTAGTAGAAATGTTTTGGTTTGTCACAATCAAACGGGAAACATTTTTAAATCAGTTGCTTAGTAATGCTAGATAAGAGTAATCTTCATTTTAACTTGGATACAAGATTAGGCTTACAATAGATAAGATATATGTTTGCTAATTTGATCAATAATTAAAAATTATATTTTTACTTAGCTTCTTATCTTTCAATTTAAATAGTTTAATTTTAATTTTTAAATTATTTTGTTGTGTCCCTTCTTATTGATTCAATAATTAAATATAATTCATGAGCAAAGTTATTTTTATTATTTGTTTTAAAATTGCAAAAATGAAAACAAAATTGTTGTTAAAATTAACAGTCTGTGGTTCACCGATTTCAACCAAATTTTTATTGTGTATTACATCAAAAAATATTAGACACATCTCTGGCGGTTCTTTCCAATGGGCCCTAGGAGCGAGAAAAAAAAATGATATAATAGCAAACAAAATTTATTTATACTTTGCTTTGCCCAGATTTTTAGGTCACTATATATCAATCATTTTGTTTTTTTGTGCAGAATAAGAAATAAATATTAACTATTGTATTAAATGAGGTATAATGTATCATAAATTACAAAAACCAAAAGGTGCTTTCAGTAAACTAAGCCAAGTAAATGTTTGTTCTGAAAAAGCAAATTAGATTCCTTTTTAGGACCCTTTAAAACTCTTAAATATGAATTGTTATGTAAGTTAAAAAATACAACCTTTAGTACTTTATTTTTTTAGGTGAGCTTTCTGACCATCATCTAAGGCATTCATAATTTAAATTCAACTTTAATATAACCATTGAAAAGCTTAATTACTGCTCTTGCTACTGACACCAATAACTTTTGCATTTCATTTTTTTTTTTTCAAGCTAGAAATTAAGGAAAACTTCTAACCCACTTTTATTTTATACCTTTAGTTTTAATTTATTTACGAATATTGAGCTTATATAATTTCCTGTAGCACACAGATGCCTAAATCTCTTTTAATGTTTGTGTGGATCAGTGAAGCCGTTCTAAAGTTATCACAAGTTTTGCGGTTGTTGACGAAACTTCCAAGGGTTCAGCCTAGCAAAAAATTTCGTGCAGAAAAGTTTAATTTTTTGATTGCTTTAAAAATTTGTATTAAACTGTTTTTTGAGATGCGAAAAACGAATATCAACTTTGTTTCTAACTAAAAAAATATTTAGGTTTCTAACGGAATTATGGAAATGAATAGGTAGTCAATTGAGATGGATTAGGGGATAATAAGGGATGGGATTGATATGATGCTTGGAGCCAATAAGAATGGTTTTGGTCTTCTCAACGTTCATTTAAACCATTGCTCGCTGCCCAAGTGGTAATACCATCTATATCCTCCTGTAACCGTTGAATTGCCTCTAGCATTCACTCAGAGAGAACAGCCTAGAGGGTTTCATGTAAAACGTGACCCATATTTAATGTCCGTTCTAACAATAAATATTTTTTGAGTTTTTCCTCTTTCATTCTGGATGTACAATTTATTTATTAATAATTATCATAATCTTAATAAACCGACACACGTCAGAATTAATGTTACATTGTTGCTTTTAGTAGAGTTTTAGATGTAATCCGTATTTTTAAAAAATATATGTATTATTTATCTTGTATGATAAATAGTCAGGAATATTTTTTTTATTATACCCATTTATTAATTATGGGTGTCAACATTTTGAGACACAAGCTTGAGTTGAAATGTTGGCACCCAAAGTAATAAAAAAGAAAAATGATTTCCTGACTAATTATCATCCAAAATAAACATTCATATGATCAACTATATTCTCTAAATGTTTGCTTTTGTATTTAGGTGCATCTGCTGCAAGCAAAGCTTTCACTCCAGCGATTTTACAAGAAATGGCCAAAATTAACGACAGGCCAGTAATTTTTGCTCTAAGCAATCCAACATCGAAAGCTGAATGCACAGCTGAAGAAGCATACGTCAATACAGAAGTAATTTTTTTCTCTACTTTTTCAATTTTGTCTTATTTTTTTTTTTCATTTTATTTAGCCAGTGGCTGCATTTGGGAACTATTTTGAGGCCATGTACATCCTTTAGTGCTCTACTCACTACCGAAAAAAATTCTAGAAGGAAAAAAAAAATGAAAATAAAACACTTCTAGCAACAGTTTCTGTCATACAGATGGTTTCAGTTGTTTTGTACTAATGGTATTCTAGATTAATATACTACTCTTTATGGGCTGCTTTGTAATATTCCATTGCGGCCATTTTAATCATCATGGACATTTTAATCATCATTCTTAAAAATAGGTGATAAAGATAGTCAGGTTATAAAAAATAAACACAAAATTGGTGTAGTTATCTATAATCTTTGTAGACATTTCAACCCACTTTGCCGGCATTTATCTATTATATGAAAAATAATTAATTAAATGTTATTTGAAGTATAGATATACACATAAATAAAATGTAATTATAAAGTATTGAGTATAAAAACTGGAGGGAATGCTTATGATTAATATAATTGGACATATTAAAATGATAATAATGGGAATGGTTAAAATAATATATAAATATTAATTGTTATGTATAGAAATTCATTTTCATTCTCTCGAATAATGAGCCTTAATCTTGAAAGACAAAAGCCAACCTAAGTCTTGAGAAAGTAGATATTTAAGAAAGATTGTAAGTAAAACTTCCTGAAACTAAATAAAAAGCACCACTATTGCAATGATTCTACAGTTGCAACTGATAACTTTTGTTGCAAAGAAATGGGAACTCCGTATACCATCAGAATGAACAAGATCTAGATGACTTAATGAAACTAATTCATAGGAAAAAAAGACGTAAGGACAGGCCACAAAAGAAGTATGAGGATGGTATCAAAGAGGCCTTTGGCAGTAGAAGATTGGGTTGCTTGCCGAGAACACAAACAACAGTGGATAGATACCACGTTTTCCAGTTTATGTCAGTTCTTTCAAACCAATTAAGTAAGGATGATTTAATTTGGAAAATATGACGATATAGAATGATTTATAGATATATAGAAGCCATGGGAGAATTTAGATAACTCCGTCAATGATCCTGGGCATTTCTAATCCTGAAGTTCCTGCGTGCCCAAATCCATCATCATAACTGCTATTTAAATTATCTCTCTGATAAATGTCTACAAACCTATTTACTCTGTAAACATTTAGATGCATTAAAATGGGATCTGTTAAATTTATTTTTAAAAGGTATTTTCAAGTAAACCTATTAAAATGAAACCACTTAAAATAAGTGTAATGTGCGTGCAATATGTTAGACAACTTGTAAATTAATTCACTTTTTGTTTTTAGGCAGAAAAAATGTTTGAAAATAATCACTGAAGGTTGGCTATTGTATAATGTCAAATTTTTAAAAGCAATTATCTTTTCACATTAGTGTATTTGAGATTCACTCCACTTTCTAATTGTGTCAATAAATGTATGCTCTGGAATATTTTAATAAAACATATTTTTTTAATCACGAAAAGTTATTTTTACTTAAGAGTAAATGTCTGAGAATGAAGAAAAAAACAACAATTTTTTTAATTTTTGAATAAATGTTAACAATATTTTGCTAGCAATTATTTATTTTAACATTGTCATATTCAATGTTTTCACACCTTTTTATGTTAATACTATGAAAAAGAAACAATTGAATGAGAGAAGTATTGACTAATATCTTGACACTGACCAAGTGCTGAGTATTATTGCAGTTTTTACTTAAAAATATCTTGAGTTAGAAATGTATACTTTTTTTCTGTTTTCACCACATGTGTTTAAGTATAATTTAATAAAACTGGAACAGAAAACTGTTTTAAGATGAAATAATTACATGCATAAAAAAAAAGGCATTTTTATTTTATTAAATATATTTAAAAAAATATAAAATTAAACAAATATTTTCCTAACTTATTTTGTAATAGAGGTGACAATTGTTTGCCTTTTTAAAGCTATAAGTTTTTTTTTTTTTTTTTTTTGGGTCCTTCCCTTCCTCGCCATTAAGGCTATACGGGGTTTTCCCGGGCCAGGGAGTGTGGGGAGGGATTTAAAAGACTCCCTCGGCACCTGGACGCGAACTCGTGACTATTTTTCTATCATTAGACGGCTAAAAGTCTTATTATTATTCTATTGTATTAGTTATTTTATTACTTTGATTCTCTTTTTTTTTTTCAGGGAAGAGTTATCTTTTCATCAGGCTCCCCGTTCGGACCTGTAACTTTCAACGGTAAAACTTATACTCCAGGACAAGGAAACAATGCTTACATTTTCCCTGGTGTTGCTCTTGGTGTCATCGTCACAGGGATCCATCACATCTCAGACGAAATATTTCTAATTGCTGCTCAGGTATTAATTAATTAACATGTATTCTTATAATCACAGTCGTTTCAATAAACTGGTGGATTTCGGTTTTTATGATTGTCAAGTGGTTGTTATAAATGCAGTTAACATTAATAGTATGTTGTTCAACCAGTAAACAGACTAGTTTAAGGCTAGGCATTTGGTCTTTTAAAGTCTATCAAGCTTTAGAGAAATATTTTAATATCAATTAAATATTTATAATTTTTTCTATTGTTAAAAAAAAATATTTAAAACGCATTAATATTTATAACTGGGGGTTGATGGTTGACTGTAGTGAATAATGAAGAGAAGGATAGTTGGGGTGAACAGTCAAAAATAAAAATGGCAAAAATAAATATTATTATTTATTTTTGCGATTTTTATTTTTACTGATCAACCCAACTATGCTTCTCTTTATTAATATTTATACTACTTTCTTCATTCATGTTACAAGTTTTTCTTGTATAAATTATAGTTTAAAAAAAAAAAAAAACAGTTTTTTTTTTTAAGAAAGTTTCTAAGGTCATTAATATGTTGGTTAACAACCAAAAGAACTTTTATTTTTTATGGAGAAAAATATCTCAACAAAAAACAGTTACTTTAGAGCATATCCGGGTTATTCATCTGGAAGATTATTTTCTAAACCATATCGGAATAGTATTAATTAAATACAAATAAATTATTGAATAATTGTGGATAAAATTCTTGTTTTATAGCGTGTCGCTGATCATGTAACTGATGCAGATTTGGAGAGAGGTAGCTTGTACCCTCCATTAAGTAAAATCAAGGAATGTTCTGTTGACATCGCTGTCCATGTCTCGCAGTATGCTTATAACAAAGGTAAAAAATATTCTTGATTAAGTTAATTTTAATAGCATGGCATACAAATAATTTAGTCAATTATTTATTTTAAATTCACATTGAGTTATTGATCATTAGAAAAATATAAAGGACTTAAGACAGCGAGAGGTTTAAGTGACCGTCGTGCAGTAGAAGGACCAAGCCAGAAGTATTTAGTATTCTTGTACATTGTACTTTGTTTAATTGAAATTCTGGAGAATCAGAAAAAAATATGTTTAAGTGTTTATTATTTTTTATTTCTGTATATGTCTGTGATAAGTCCATATATTTTGATTATATAAACAGTTCAGCTTTATAAACAGACTTTTTAAACAATACAATATATTTCTCTGATAATTATTTTCATTATTATTTTAGGGATTGCATCGACTTACCCTGAACCTGTTGATAAAATGGCCTTCGTGAAAGCCCAGATGTATGATTATTATTACGACACTCCTCTCCCAACAATGTACAACTGGCCTCCTACAGATGAATCCTTTGAATACACATCAACTATCGAGTCAGGATTCGAATTCAAGCCTTAATTGTTATCAAGACGTATTCCTTCTTCACTGTGTCGTCTCTAGTCGCACTTTAATTATTTGAGAGTATTAAACGTTACTGATCTCCGACTCATCAAGTATACAATATTACGAAATGAACAGTATTATGACGAGGGATTAAGAACAAAAAGCAATAAATGTGTGGCTACTGTTTTAATCGAAAAAGTTGCTTTTTCGACCCTGGAATAAAGGTTTTATTTAACTGCACTCATATTGACTTTTATGAGGTTATAGTTACTGTCTAGTTTAGAGTGATATATTTTGTTTATATTTATTATAATTGGTTATAAAATTCCCCGGAGATATTTTAATATGATTTTATGTTATGTGACATGGTCGTTGTTTGTTAATTATCGATAAGAGAATCCTGTTTAAATTTTAATTTATTTATTAAATAATGTTCTTAAAAATTGATAACTTTTCATTTAGAACTATGTATTATATTGTATATTTTATGTAACTATTACCTTGAAGTACTTTTGAGAAAGAAGGTTTTTATTATGATTATTTATTAATTGTATTATTATTTTGTTTTATTTTGCCATCCATTAGGCTACATTTATAAGGCAGGATATTGTTATTACATTCATTATGATGAAACTTTCTTAAAATAACAAATGCATTTACGTATTAGACATAATCTAATTCAACAAGTTGAATAAAAATGTTTATAATTATTATTTATTAAAATTAATTGTTAGATCTCTTTTTTTTTTTTTTATCAATTACATTTATATCCTAGATTAGCTTGCCAAATATTTTTTAATACATTTTACTAACTGTTTGATACATTCAGTCCATAAAACTTTCCTGAGTCTATATTCTATTCAACTTTAACTATTATTATAACTGCTTGGTGAAGGCTCAGAAACTAATGTAAAGGGGACTTTGTTTATTTCTTGAGCAAGTATAGCATGCAGAAGTTATTAAAAAAGTTCTTCTGAACCGTCTTGTTTTAACTTCCCTATTTGTGACCAATACTACATATGGGTTGTTAATTTCCAAAGTGAGTGAACCCTGATCGATTTTTATAAAAATTGAGATAAGTATCGATACCCATGCAAAAACATCCAATGAAACCGATGGTGCAATAATTTTTTTTTAATTATGAATCTAAATATTACAAAGTGGTGTGAAAATAAGTTTTTTTCTGAAACCGATCTTTCTTTCATGGAATGTAATGTTACTTGCATTTCTCAAGTATTATTTAGAGGAAAAAAACATCAAAAGATTTTTTAACTGATTTATTCAAATGAAAATGAAAAATATTTTTTTATTGTACAATTTTTATAAATTTTTCTCCCCAAATCATACACCATTTTTTCAGAACAAACCCAAAGAAGCTTTTTTTGTTCAAAAACTAAAAACGGGCCCTGAAGATTATTTCTTTTCTAAGGGGATCCTATTGAAGTTTCAATGTTTTTTAGTGAATATCGTTATATCACTGAAACATTTAGTAATTTTCAGAAATATATTTTACAAATAAAGAATTTTTTAATTTTTTTTTTTGAAGTATTGGTTTTATTATTTATTACAGATAGGTATAGATATTAAAATTGGAATAGAAAATATAATTTTTGCAGTTCCTGAAATATTGTCAATAATGATCAGGGTTCACTTTAGAAATAAACAACTCATATGTAATATTTATTTGTTTTTTAGTTTTTGAGTGTCAAATATTTATCTCCTACATGCTAAATTTTATAATTACCTTTCAGTTATAATACAGGAAATATGCTGAAAACGGATGAATGACTATATTATATATAATGAAAGTTAAATTCAATACCTAAAGCGATCCACAAGTTTTTAGGAATTTATAAAAGTCTTTTAGTTAACCAAAGGAGAGAAATTTCAAAAAGATGTAACTTCACAAGTTGACCGAGAGATGATTTTTTTTAAATGTAACGTTTTGAGTAATAAACAAATATTTTCAATTATTCAAATATATTAAAGTAATATATATTTGGCCAATATATTATGAAATATATTTCATAATATATTTGGCCAGTCTATGTACTACCTCCTGCAATGCCACATACCACGCCCTGATGAAGACCTGCAAGGTGGGTCGAAACATCGGCGTAATAATTAAAAATACTATTTTTAAAAAATTTAGTATTTATTTGTATTTAGTATTTAACTCCTAGAAATATATTAAAGATTTTTCATCTAATAATAATGATAGTTGTTATGAAAAAAAAAAAAACAGCCATCACAGATATAAATGCTCATTTCTAAAATATGATTGGTTTTTTGAATGAAAACTTCAAATTGATTTTTATTCATTCACACTACTTGTGTGTCCTTTCCAAAGAGGCAAAATTAAAGGTGATTTCCATCCAAAACCTCATATATTAAGAGGAAAAGAATTTCCCTTAGAGAGGTACTTTAATCTACACACCAATTTTTTTTTTATCCTTTCGTTGCAAACTGCACCACGGCCATGAAGGCCTATTGTACACCTCTATTAATGTTACTCCTGTTCACATACTTCCAAATATTGATATTTTTTCTACTCCAATATAATAACATTTCGCTACTGTTACAATTTTACATGTTTATTCTCTTTGCACTAAAGGTGATATTTTGTTGTCTGCAACTGCTATAAGCAGTCTGCCAAGTAGGAAAATAGCAGACGGAAATAAAATATGAAATTTTAATAATAAATCGTAAAGAAATAATCAGTTTTTGTACTCTTCTGTAAAAAAAACTCAATTCTTACATATTTACAATTATAACTGTTTACATTAACAATAGCAATATGTTTGTTTTTCTTAACATTTCATCATTTTTTTATCTCAATTCGTACGTTCATTCATTTTGTTTTTTCTTGCAATAACCACTTCTTTAAAAGAAATGTTCAGTCGTAGGAAATTTTTTGTTTGAAGGCATAGTAACCTTCAAGTCATCCATCGTCTTTGTCTGGAATGTATTCTATTCCTTTTAGAACAGAAAAATACTCCTCACGTGACTTTCCCATTTTCTTTAAATTGCATTTTATATGCATTTAAAATTTGATCACCATTTGGAATTTTAAAAAGGGATTTCTATTTTTTCATTTGTACATTTTTGGTTTTCCATGTTCTAAAAAGTCTTTTATAAGTCACATTTATTCCCAGTTGTTCTATAAATAAATGGGCGTTGTTTAAAACGTTCATGCTCCCTATGACATCTATTCATTTTTGAAAATTAATGTATAAAGGCTTTGATCGATAATCAAACAATGATAAATGTCAATATCAATAAAATACATCAAGCAGCCTCATTTTCACCATCAAATTGCTCAGAGTACTGTTCGAATGAAGTCTCTGTTGCCAGCTAAAATATTCCAATTACTCGTGGGAGAGGGGAGGGGGGAACTAGTCCCGTAAGTGGAACTTGAGGTCCTTATTGCCAACCCGGCTACCTTCAAGTTGTTGCTAGGGACTTATTTTATTTGTGTAATACTTTTTTTTTTATCACAATTCGTTCAGTAATTTTTTGCACGGCGTTTCACAAAATCCCAGTATCTCTTTATCACTGCTTGGTAAAAATTAGTATTTAATTTATTTAGAATTAAAATAACAAAAATCAATTAAATTTAGGTCACAGATAACAAAAAATAATTTACAGGTGTTGATGACCTTGAAGTTGTATGCCTTCAAGCCCCACAGACAAGCAAGAATCGATTATTTTCTGTAATATACAAATCACAAATTTTACTTTGTTTATTTTATGTTCCTTTATATATGGTGTGAATGAGTTCTTACCTCACTATAATTATTGTCATGTTACAAAATATTATATTACTGAATAAATGAATAAAATAAAATAAATAATGAAAATTCTATTTTCAATTTTCTGTAAAAAAAAATATCTGATTTATGGGATTGATTTTCTATAAAAAAAATTGTGAGGACATCTCGTTTCATACTACATCTAAATCATTTTTATAAATTTTGTGGATGAGGAGCTGATGTGCGATTAATATTAATATGATTCTATTCAAAGTTTTAAGGACAACAATTAACTGTTATCTCCTATTTTAAATTAAAAGGGAGGAGAACTTGTTGATACAGGAAAAGATTTAACTCAAGAAGAATTCTAAATGACTAAAGTCCACTAATGGAACTGGATTTGACACTGATAAGGACCAAATATTTCGGACACACTTCTTCAAAAAACAGCTAATAGATAACATGTAAAGATATCACATCTCTCCAGGACAATTGAACACATACTAGTAAGTAATGTGAGAAACAGTATGTGTTAAATAGTCTCAGGGTCATAAGCAGTCTTTAATAGGTTAGTCAGAATATCATTACTGATCTAAGATGTATTCACTCTTATATGTACTTACCTAATTCCAGAGGTGCCTAGAAGGGCACCTTGCGCAAGTTGCGACATCAAAATTTATAAGAGGGGCCCTTTTTGAAGGGGTTTGCTATTTTTGCGGGGGAGGGGGCACATTTCGACAGGGTTATGAATTTTCTAAATAAAAAGTTTCAAATCAAAAGGTAAGTGGAAGCATGAAAAAGACTGCAGTATGTGTAACTGTATACAATCTATGAATATTTGAATTCTACTTCCGTTTGCACTGTTTTTAAGAAGAGGAGGGATATAAAATATCTTGGGAGGGGTGGAGGGAGGTTTATATGCCATCCGCCTTGTGGGGGATGGACACCCTTGCCTGATTCCATCATTTTCTGCTCTGATGATGCCTCAATAGACAGAGCATTGACTGGTTAGTGATTTGCTGGTATTTTAGAGACTTATGACTTTGTTGTATGATCCTCCAAATTTATTTTGTTTATTGGGTTTAACACCCTAATGCAGGGACGGATCTATGGGGAGCAGCTTTCTGGCTGAAGCCCCCCCCCCCCAAAATGGTAAAATATAACCATGTTTTATAGAAAAAAAATATTAAAAACTATCTATAATTGTTCATGTAATTACATTTAATAGGACTTCAAGAATCACTAAAACACTATTTCATATGGGTAGATAGTTTCTTTCTTTTTAATAAAAAAAGTAATTATCGTTATATATCTAAAAAAAAATATATATACATTAAATCCTGGATCTGCAAGTGCCCTAATGTACAATTAGAACCTGAAGTGTATGGTATTCCATGTTACTTTTCCATTCTAGGGATAGTATCACTCATAATAGGGTATTGAATACATCAACTAAAAATTTAAAAAATGATTTACTTGAAAAATACATGATTGAATTTTTATTTTATTTTATAAAAGTATCATTGTTATTTTATGTTGTGTTACATTACGTACAATATCACATTCGAATGATTGATATAAATCATAATATCCTTGTGGTTATTATAGAAGTCTCTTTTAGAAGTTGAGAGGGGCAATAAATTACAAGATTCCTTCGATGATGGGTTACTTCTTGAAGATGTCGGCAGCGTTGCCTCCCCTGACGTCGATGGTGGGGGCGGCGAGGGATTGGACCTGGGCCTGGCAGGCGCGGAAGGTCTGCCCGAACTTGAGGTCGACCTGTCCCTGGCAGCCGTAGCCGCCCAGGCGATGGATGGCCGCGTAGTCGGCGCAGTCTATTCTCCCATCGTTGTTACAGTCCTGAAACACAATGTCAATACCGTTATGATCCGCTATTTACATAGAATTATTCATCTTTTTATTATATAATACAGTTAATATATGAAGAAGTATGTATTTATTAAGAGATGGTAACCTTTAGCTACATACGCAGTACACTAAGTCTATCCCCACTCCCCACATATATTATTACAGTAAGACTCGAAATCGGTTTTGTACCAAATATAAGCTCCTGTCATGCTCAAATACCATGAATGGGGTACCGTTGGATTCAGAATTTCGCGGAGGTTAGCGAATCGGATTCTCCACTTTTGTTTTTCTTTCGAAAATAATCGGATTCTCCACTTTTGTTTTTCTTTCTAAAATAAATAAAGTCGATACAAGCATTTTGCTTGGCTTCAATACTGGAACGATGGTAGGTCCGTAGATCCAAATTGGACCTTGAAGATTTTGATACGTACAGCAATACTCGGATCTTGAGTTTTTAAGCCCAAAAATGTACTATTTTCGAGATAACGCAAGGCCTAGGATTAGCACCCACCTAACCTTACGTTAATTGTACTGTCATTGAATAAATGTCTTATTTCGTCGACTCTATGATCGAGAGAGGAGGAGTTTATATTATTTATGGATGGTGTTTTTGATCGGCAAGCCATATCATCGTTAATTCTTCACCAAATCTCAAGATTGAGCCACCAATTTCGAAGCCTTCCTCCTCCTTCAGGTGGGCAAAATAGTCCAATCACCCCGAAAATTCAGGCAAACAAGTTATGAAAGAAAACAAACTTTATATGCGAATAACTAAAAAATTACACCCTTTTCCGTTGGTTATGCCATAAATATATAAAAGATTACTAAATTCCCTACAAAAAGGTAAAAAAATCATCGAAATCGGACAATTTTTAGCAAAGATACAGAATATTGAAATTTGTAAACGTTTTGGTTCCAAACATTAATGAAGATTTAAATTAATTTTTGTTTCCTTTGTCGATTTTATTTATCGGGAAAGCAACAATCGATTTCTTATCTTTTGATACGTTGCATTATTTTATATGCTTATTAATTTGGCATTGGATAACTATATACTATTCGAATTTTTCGCACGGGCCTACTAGTTACTAGATAATAATACGTTCACCAACCTTAATTATAAAAAATATGTTAGAAAGTAGTTCCAATTTGGATTTACACGTCCATTTTGTGTTGTGTTCAAATGATCTAGTTCCTGATACAAAAAGAAGTATCTAAAACCTACAACGTTCGAATAAGTTTTAGGCAGAGAGATGAACTCTCGACGACGTTTAATTTAGTCATGAAGAAGAAGATCAGAACATCACGTGAAAATGGAGGGGTTCACGCCGGAATGAATCATAAAATCCTTTGATATATGGATGATATTTCTATTCTCACAACATTTTTGGAATCGCTAAAACTCTGATTAGAAAATCGGCCCACGGATAAATGAAAATAGGGATCTGCATGGATGGAAAATCATTCCCGAAAGTAGACAAATTCAAATACCGAATTCTACAGTAACCTCTATACATGACCAACTACCAGAGGTAGACCGTATAACAAGAACACTGAGCTTTGAAAGAGAGAAGTTTCCTTGTACATGAATCACGAAATATCTCTACAAATTTCAAATTAAAGAGTACAATGATAAGTAAATGACCGTTCTGATATATGGTTTCAAGATATTGACTCTTGCCAGCATCCTACATTTGAAACATTGAAATGAAACTCCTCAGCACTAATAACTGGAATTATTAGGGGTCAAAATGATATTGCGTGGAGGAGAAATACTATTAAAAAACTGCTTACAGAACTGGTCAGCCTGTTTCTGATGATATGAAGACAAGGAGGTAAAGATTGACGAAACTATTGAAGGAATCCACCAGGATACTTCTAAACAATGAATGCTTCAGTAATTGGTAAAAGGCCACGTGGAATCCCAAAATAACAAATGAAAAGTTCGAATTTACACAGAAGCTGCATTCAGCAAATTGTAGAGGTGAAAGGTAGAAATAACTGAAGAAGGCTGGTTCTGGGGGCCGAAGATCTTAAAAGTTTTGAAACCAAAAGAGAGAAATATGTATACCTATACATATAATTTTTCATTTTAGAGATTGGGTGTGTTAATGAGTAAGGCACTTGAATTCTATCTCCCGGGCTGTGGAAGATAATTATTTTTCGTGTTATATCAACCACGGATTCATCCAGCCTCTAAAAAATAGGTTGACTTTACACTTTAATTTGGGGTAAAAACTTAACGGTTGAGCTAAACATCCATTTATAAAAGTTGTCACAACACTATTTCCTTACCATAATAAACCCTAAATCTTTCATGGATTTAGCGTTCATGAATTGTACAGTTTTTTTTTTATGGTAACGGTTTATTTCATTCCGTTTGTTTCATAGAATAATCCTTTAATGAATGGAAGTAAATTTCTATTGAATTAAAATGCTGCGTTATCGTAAGGCGAACCTGAAGAGTCTTCTACGCCGATATCAAAGACAATCTTTGCCGTTACGCCTGCTCCAGAACTCAGTCAATACAAGGCCCTACGTAAAAGACGAGACCTGCCTCAATCCTCCCATCAACGCCTTAGACCTTAGTCCTCGGCGCAGGCCTGTTTCCTTTTTTTTTAAAATTCGTTCTTTGTTCCTTAGTCAAACCAATTTATAGATTTATTGTATTTACCGCAGTTCATTAAAAAAAAAAAAAAAATCAATTATTTATTTACGTTTGATGTCTATGGCAAGTTGGATCTCGAATAGAGAGAAATACTCTAGTTAATGTAGAGTTGCCCTACTTTACAGGGTTGCTTAATATACAGCATTCTTATAAATCTCTTTTTGGACATAATACATACATTATTTTATTTTTATTTTTTCTCACTTTTCATATCCCTAAACATTACTATATTAGAAATAACATCATACATCATTATTCTATATCACGTTTGTATAATTGTATTCATTATTGCTTATTTTGAAGAGTGAAGGATACCCTAGAAAGAAATAACAAAAAATATCTTTCGTCGCTGAAATACTGCACGATCTCTTTAAAGAATTTAAGACATACCGTGTTCCTAAAAATCTATGTCGGTATAAGTCATCAAACTGAAAATGTTTTCTTATATAATTTCTTTATCAATGGTTGCATTTTTGTTTTTCAAACATGTATAATACAAATTGAATGCGCCTGAAACGCTGTGGTATTGCTAGTATCAGTTTTTTTGTTTTGTTTTACCATGTAAACGTTTCGGACAAATTATGTTGGTTATTGCTGGTAGGTTTGAACAAAATAGAAAAAATGTTGGTTATTTTTAATTCTAAAATTGATTGTCCCTCAAGATGTTAATTTTTTTTTTCTTAATGGACTATTTCAAGCATAATAACATTTAATTTGCCCACAGAATTAATTGAGTATTCAGTATTTGAGTGTTCAATGGTAGTATATAATTTGAAGCATGCAAGTTTTAAAAAAATTTGTTGATATTTGTTTCTGTTCTAATAAGAGGTTTTTTTTTTTTTAGAAACAATATGATAGCAATACGCAATTAGTCTTGTTTAATTGTTATAAAATAACGTGTTTATTTTATTATTTCTAGTGCTCTCGCTCAATCTCCACTGTCCTTTAGTACCAGGGACACTTGTGAGAGAGAACTGCAGGGGTCTCCTGGAGTCCTGCTTTTCCCTTCTCAAGTTGGGGGGGGGGGGTCAAGACTGGTTCGGTATTCCCTTGGCTGATTTTTAATAATGTATATGTGTTTAAGATGCTATTTTAATTTACTTATCTTTAAATTTTTTTTATTATGTGTATTTATTATTATGAACATTTATTTATTATTTTTCTTTTTTTACATTTATTTTTGTTTTCTGTAAATATGTTGGGAATGAATTCTTTTCTCATTATAACTCTTGTCCTTATTGTGACGGAATGTTATATTGCTCAATTAAATAAAATAATTTTATTTACTGTTTGTATCTATAACAAATCGTTATTTAGAATTGTACTTTATTTATGTTTTAATTCATAACGTCATTAATTAGAGATTATTCACCGATAATAAATAAACGAACCTATACAGTACAAACAATATAATAATAAATAAGAGAGACAAAACTAGAACTAATTAAGTTTGTTAAAAAGATTCCTTCAGTTTGGTTTTTGCTATGTTTCAGATATGGACCGTTGACAACTCATCTCCCGCCACATATCGACTGCGGGACAGGTGGCAAGGTCCTGGCTTGGAAATCGATATTACTCCTCTGCCCCTTCCACAACTGACTGAAGCACTCTGTTTTCCCGTTCCGATTTCGGAACCCGGCGTTATCGACGGAGATTTCCAAGCAGTCGGGGATAGAGAGCATTGTGGGTAATTGATAGTGAATCAATGGGGGTCCAGAGCAGAGCCACGCTGCGTAGATCAATAGTTATCTGTTGGAGGGTACGCAGTGCTGCGGTTCCTGCCGGCAACCGTTTCTTTTGCAGGAAAATAACGAACCGATACAATTTCGATTGCAAGAGGATCTTAGCAATGGCTTCTGTCTGGGGAAGAAGGCGTAGGAGACGCATACCTCGGGCCCCATTTACTTAAGGGGCCCAGAGAAGAGGAAGATATACAAAAATTCTTCTTTTAATCAGACATATTTTCCTTTTGTTTTTAGTGATAATTTGTATTTTTAGATTTATTTAATTAATTATATCAACACATTTTTACCAAATAACAACAATTTATTAACGATCCAAAGCATATCATGGAAGAATAAAAATAATTTGTATTTACTTGATATGTATTCAGGGCTGCCGCATGTTCACTTATTACTCGACTGAACATAAACAAAAATGAACATGACGATAGAAATAAATACATATGATAAAACAATATTTCTGTTTTGTTTTTTTCAATAATGAATGTATACCATTAATTTGTTAAATGATTTATTCATTTATTTTTATTAATTTAACGATTTGTATTTTTGTATATATTAATTTATTCTGAATTAAATTATTCGGAAGCGACTGCCCCAATTAGGTGAATTCACACCGACCCCGCGTACTTACATCGAGAAATGGGGTTTGTTTTTTCAGGATGTTAGTTGCCACCCGGAAGTTGTGTCCATAAATGGCTTGCTGGCCCAGAGCAGCCATAATTAACGAATCTAGACAGATTTGCCAGTGTCCTTGAAGCTGAGTGATTAGGATGGATTGGCCAGATTAGCCCTAAATTAATCAGCTATAGAACTATGGATGGCCTGCAGCTGCAACATAGAGACCATAGTCTGTATTGTAGAAACGTGAGGTTGGGTGACCCTCTCTAGGAGATCTCCCGCAAACAATATACGTTTTATGGAGATACAATCTCACGCCCAATGTATACGAATAAGAAAATGAATATATATCTTGGAAGAATGTACATTTCTAATTCATTGGATTTTGATTTCGGGAATGTCCAGATCCGGAACCGGATAGAGGCAAAGGGTATACTTACCCCGGATGGTAGAACTTAGAGGATGGCTAATTTGGAGAATTGGTTTTTTCTTAGGTAAAAAATAGTTCTTTCTATTTATTGCTCGTTTTGGACTTATTTCACGAATTTTATTTAACGAAACAAGTTAATGATTGTGATATTTGTTTCGAAATACATTACATAAAATAGTTATATAAAATGTTGACTTTTATAAGGGAGGTTGTGCATAATTACCGCTTGTTCTTCTTGAATATATTGGTATAAAATATTCTATTTTTAAAAATTAAAATAATCATTATTGAAGGCTTAAAAGGATTTACAAAAAGTATTAGGATGAACTGTACTTTTTTTTAGGTGACATTTCAACAATATCTAAATGAATACAGGATTCCCTCTCAGATATGTGCGATTTCTGAGATTAAATGAAATCAATAGGATCTCGTAAGAAGAATGCCTATAGCGTGAAAGCATCGCTGAGACTGTACAGGAAGTGCTTGGAGGCCATAGGACAATAGTATATAGGAGCTCCCACACTGATCCACCAGGTAATTATTTATCATTCTTATACAATATGAAATTACCAGTAAGAAATATTTTATCACAGTGCAATTCTTATTATTTCTTTTTCCAGACAAATTTAATTTAAATGCCAGTTATGAGTGGAGGTAGTCCGAAGGTTTAGGTTACCTCCGAGCTCAGTTTATAATAAAAATGCTATTATATTTGTATCAATACTACTTCCGGAATACAGAAAAAATAACTTGATCAAAAAATCGAAAAAAAAATGTTGCCTACAAAATAATGGGCCATTTGGTCTGTGACATGTTTTGGGTGGAAGTCGTGCCAAACGGTCCAATATTTTTGTAGGCCACATTTTTTTCAATTTGTGATCAAGTTATCTTATGATTCAAATAGAAAGCAAATTGGCTTTCAAGAATTTATAGTACCTAATTAAAAAGACGAAGTTCGCTTATCTCCAGATTGCTTTCCACTCAAATCGCGAGACAATATGATCAGAAAGGCGAGAGAAAATGTGCCAACAAAAATATTGGTGCATTTGGTGTGGCCTTCAACCCCAACATATTAAAATAACGAGGTTATTTAGGACAAACGGACAAATATTTTTGTAGGCCACCTTTTTTTTTTGGGATCAAATTACTAAGTGGAAAGGAAGCGGGTATTTACGAGTTTTTAGTACCTAATTAAATAGACAATGTTTATCGATCTCCAGATTGAAAACGCTCCAATTCCGAGATTTTTCGTAAATAAGCTTGCAGGTTACCATGAAATGAAGCCATTCACGAAGTTTTAGAGAGATGTTAATAATTTGATAAAAAGGGGTCTGTACCACGGACTATTATTTAAAAAAATAATATAAAATTTAAATGAAGGAGTTGGTCTGAGAGTCGTTCAGAAAAAATATCAAATAATTTATAATCATTTAGTCAATGCCGACGTTTCATTCAGCATAACTGGTCTTCTTCATCAGGGTTAAATAGTAGTTAAAATTTAAATATTTTTTACTGAATTAATAATTATCAATTACTCGATATTGCTTCTAATCGGCTCCATGATTTATCCAGACGGCCAATTATCCAAGCACATAATAGTAAAATTGCGAAAGATAGAAATTATGTAAGATTTGGTAGTAATAACGGTTTTTCAAATAAATTGATTTAAATAACAGCACACATAGAAGATAAGTTTTCATTAAATAATCTCACTATGCGTTAGACTAAAAGGAAACGATGGCCTTGTCTTATGAAAGATATAATTAAAGTCTCGAGAGAGGTCAGCAAATCAACACTGGATTATCAATTCGATTATTAATAATATAGGAGAAGATAGTTGGGATGTTCAGTCAAAATACATAGTAAAAATAAATAAATTACATTTATTTTTATTTTTGCCGATGTTTCGGTTCAAAGTTCAGGCTTTCATAAGGGCTTATCTCACGAAAGGTTCCTGTAAGATTAGTAATTATGGAGTAATTATTAAAGAACAATTAATTATAGATCGCCGAATAAACCCCGCCTTATTCAGTTTTTGACGAAAATGCGTTAATTATCTGGCTTCATTCAGTTTTTAACGTCCAATCGAATACTATCAATTTCAACAAGCTGCAGATTATGGAAATAAGATAAAAATTACAAAAAAACAAAATCAAACTTTATAATTATCATACCATAACTTTGATAACAAGTTTTCAAATGAGTAAGGACTCGAGACCGTGGAAGGATTGTGGAAGACTCCTGGATTTTAGTTCCGGATTTTGATATCCTGTAGAGAGCCTTCTTTATCGCAATTGCTTCTCTGCTGAATATAGAGCTCTCTCTTGGTAAGTTAAATAGTAGCTGCTGCTGGTTTTCGGTAACAGACCGCTCAACCAACATTATTTTTTATTTTGGATACCTGGATGTGTATGACCATAAAACCTTTCTAGTAATTTAAATAAATAGTTTTGGGTTTCTAGTCGTTACGCTTTGGAACATCTGTTCATCGATATGTGTATAGTCGGTTTACATTTCTTCTAGTAAAGGATTTTGAGACAGGAATGGGTCTAACTGAGTTCAGATCCGTGTCCACACCGCATAATGTTCTATAAACCGTCTGTTTAAATTTGCTTCCCTGTATGTATTTATGTCCGCACCTTTCGTATTCCTCAGCAAATAGTTTTGTACCGAATGGATGCTCTCTCTCTGTGGACGGGCTTTCAATTTTGAGACATATTTTATTGACAAATAATATCGTCTCATCTCTAAAGATGTTTTTTTCCAGATTAGGCATATAAACTTTCAACTGGAGATGTTCGATGAGCTTTTGAACAGATTCTGAGGATTAAATTGTGGATGGAATCTAGTATTTTTAGCAAAGATTTGTGGTCTGTTCAATATATTTGGGATTCATGTTCTATTTTAATTCTATATTTAAGCTAACCAACACTGAAAATAAATTAAAGGTAGTGCTCATATAATCAGTGCATTCATGATAATTTTTATCTTGATGGAATATTGTTATAATAATCGTAAAAGTAAGTATTATGGTTTTAAAATACCAGTGTTAATTGTTTATAACATCAAATCTGGAAGTACCTATAAGAAATTTTATATTTGTTTTCCAGACCCATTTGGACAAACGGTATTGAGCTTTGGGGTTCTACAAAAACATCAGATTCTTCTCGTATCCAATCCTTACAATCCAAAATCCTCCGTAAAATCCTAAATGCTCCTTATTATGTAACAATTAAAATTATCCATAAAGACCTCAACATTCCTCTTGTGGAAGACTTGGCCTATATACCTCTTTTCATTCCAAACTCTTTGGGCCCAATCCTCTAGTTTGTAACCTTTCATCCAACACAATTCCTGACAACTCTCCGAGGAGTCTGAAAAGAAGATGGCTGAGATACATCCTAAATTAATTTATCTTTGAAGTGTCATCAAAGGGTAGCTTCTTCACAAATTCCTTCATGTAATATTTTTCTATATCAAATTTACTGCTTGTATATTTGTTTACAGTTGTAAATTTCAATAAAATAATAATAAAAAAAAATATTTGATTTCATTCCAATTCGTTCCTCAATAGTCGTTTCGTTCCCGGATTGCCCCGGAAGACTTTCCTTGAACGGCCACTAAGGAGGTCCTCTAGTGTACAGAAATACCCGGAGCAGCTGCGAGAGCTGGTTCCAAGCCAGGAGGGGAATGGTTCATCGACCTTGAACCGGTCTTGAGCTTTCCTCGTAAGCGGCTTAAAGTGTATAGTAATACAAGGAAAAGGTAAGCTGAAAAGAGTTAGACCAACTTCTGGCAAAGAAGAGCTATTACATATTCCCTTGAAATCATTAGTCACAAGATCTGGTTTAGTGTGACCATCTCATTCAGGTTTTGTGTTTACTCTCAAGCGTCCAAAAAAGGCATTTTTATGGCCCAACATGCAGATTTCTCGGTTTGATATCACAACCCTTCTTCAGTTGGTTCAACTTATTAATAGCAATATATATTTTTTGTCCAAAAATTTTCGAAAACACTCGTTTCGTAAATTAATATTTCTCTATTAAATTTCAATTAGGTATAAATATAACTTAATATTTTGAAGATAACGTATTAAACGTTTCATCTTACCTGGGCGAACCTGCCCATATAGTTCTTGACGGTTTCAGCAGCACATACTGGGTCAATCGAGCACCTTTGGTAAGCTAAAAAAAAAAAAAAAAAAAATTAATTCATATGGGGGAAAAATCAAAAATCAAATAAACATCCAAAAATCAAGTACAGTCCTTTCAAAATCCATTACTCTATCTTTCGAAATTACCTCCATCCTTTTTCTATTTTAAATAAAATTATATATAGCTTATTATTATTATATCTCACATGTAACTGTTTTTTTTTACAATTGTAATTATATTATTTTCACTTATAACACTAGCGAATAAATATTTTTAGCAAAAACAACATATTTAAAATTATTCCAGCAGGATGAATGAAGAGCTCTCAATAATGGGATTGTTAATTATTAATTTACAGCCGTATTTTCGAATTCAAAATTTGAAGAGATAATCTCACATTTTTATTCTATTTTTCTAATTAAATCATGAGAAATCTCTGTGCCCAGCAAAAAGATTTTCCTGACTCTCTTATCGTGACGCCAAAAAGCTCTTGGTGGACCAATATTTGTCCACCCTTCTTTACTAGGGTATACTCAGATCTAGATTACCAGACTTTAAGCTGCCAAAAAAAAAAAAAGAATAAATAAATAAGACGGTAATGTCTCCGTTAACTAAGAACAGTAGCAAATTGCTTTTTTTATTTATTTTTTTAGGTGGAAAGTTAAAACCGGAGATAGGTTGTGGAAGGTTGAGGTATAATATTTATAGTTATAATTGGTTTTAAGGATTTTTACAACCTTAAATCATAGAAACAATTATGTTTTAGTGAGATTGGTTTTTAAAACGCCATGCAAAATCTTTCCTCGGGCGCCTACAACCCACGCGATGACCCTTATGTAGCCGACATTAATCACTGATACTTGAATGTTATAACAGGAAAAATAAATTTTAAATGCCCTACATTAACAAATCAATATTTTGTATGCGTAATGATTTAAAAAGAGAATATATTATAATTTCTTACATGTTTGGTCAGAACATTCATAGAGACAATAATGAACCAATGCATAAAAATATATATATTTTTTTTAGGGGGAGAGGGGAGGCAGGGAGTTTTCAGCCCGAAATTCGCTCTTCTATTCTATTGGTGCCATAAAGAGAACTAATAACTAGAAACGGAGAAATGTTTTTTTTATAGAAACTATTTAGTGTGCTTACAAATATTAGGCCTAAATCTAAGTATTTGTGAAATAGATTTAAAATACTTTTAAAAGTACAACAGTTATTCATACAACCAAAGCTTGAAGTGAAATTTTGACTTTTATTATAATATTCGGTATTAATTAATTCTGTATTAATAGAATCTTTAATTTCAATTGCTCTCATATTATGTCGGAACTAGAACTCTTCTTCTTGTGATTTTTTCAAATAAAGGTTATGCTAAACTTAATTAAAAACATTTGTTTTTATTTAAAAGTTGTTTTATAATATTTAGAGAGGGCTGAAAATCAAGGGGCTGCTAAGATTGTTGGAATCTGAGTAGCGGACCCATTGGGGTGGAATATTAGGGCTGAAGCCCCTTAAAATAGAAAGATAATTACTTAAAAAATTGATTAATACTTAAGCAATCGCAATAGGTTTAGGTTGTTATTTGTTAGTTTGTTTCGATGTCTAGGCACATAACATCTAGGTCATCAGCGCCCAATCAACTAAATAACACTATTTTTATACTGTTTAGATGTTTGGTACAAAAAATAAAAATAAATAAATATAAAAAGGATAAAAAGAAGAATAAAATAAATAAATAAGGATAATAATAAACACTTGAAGATAATAAGACAAAATAGCTAAATAAGTAAACTTAAAAGAATAAATAGTAATAAAATCAATAAATGAATTGAAATTAATAAATAAATGAAATCTTAAAATAAATATAATAAATAAATAATTTAAAAAAATATATACAAATAAAATAAAAATCTGCAAAGGATCATCAGTTATAGACTTGTCATGTATGTTTTATAAGATTTTATTATCTAGGAACTTCATAACTTTAGTAATGATTTCTTCCTGGTTTTCCAGGGATGCTGATATATTCTGACGTATTCCAAGATCTTTTAGCCCTGCGGTGTAAAAAGGGCACTCTCCAAAACATGCTTTATAGCTAATGTCTGGTAACATTTTTCACATCTGGGGATAAGATCTTTTGTTATATGAGGCACTAGGGGATCCAGGATTTAATTTTGGGGGAGGGGCTTCAGTCCGGAAGTTTATTTTTTCATATATATAACGATAATTACTTTGAAAAAACAGAAAAATACTAGCTATGAATATGATATGGTGTTTAAGTGATTCTTGAAGTCTTATTATATGTAATTAAACGAGCAATAATACTTTAAGACATAATTTTTTACAATAAAACATAGTTACATTTTGGGAGGAGCTTCAGCCCGAAAGAATCTCCCCCCCCGTAAATCCGCTTGTGTTATGAGGTAGAGACAGAGGTACCCATCCCCCTCGATGGCGCTTGAACCTCCCTTCTCCCTCCACAAGATATTTTATTGTTATCCTCTTCTTAAAAACATTGGAAATAAAAGTTAAGTAAATCATAAACAATTACACTTGATAAGGTTTGTTCTATGTATTCCCTTTGTATTCTTGTTTGATACTTTTCAATCCGAAAATTTAAAATTCCGTCGAAATATGCCCCTTCAAAAATTCAAAATCTCGTCAAAATTTGCCCCCTCAACATTTGTGATGGCACAACTTGCGCCATGAAACCCCCTTCTGGCCACCCAAACCCCCTTCTGGAGGTGTGTCAGTCTGGTATGGCAGATCCTCAGCCGCATGAGGACGACTTCTTCTTTACGACTGCAGCGTCTGGAGCTGGTTCACGGTTGCACCTCTTTCTTTATTGTCTTTAATTTGCTAGGTGCGCAGTTGTCCCACCGTCTTTGCCATTGTAGGGATACGTTCTCTTTTAAAATTATAACTCCTATGCATGCAATACATATGGGACCTTTAAAGAAAAAAATATATAAAGAGATTATTCTTAAAAGCTTTGTTTTTCCTGTAACTACGTTGTTTTTTTTTTATCAAACCTTCAAGGACCACTTTAACATTATTTTATGTGAATTAAATTTAAAAGCACTTCCTCAACTTCAGATCAAACATTTTTTAAGAGCTTCTCTTTTAGATTTTTTTTCTGGCCTAGACATTATCCTAAAGCTATAGTTTTCTTATGATCCACCTCCTTGCAGATACTGACCTCCTTCGTCGTTGGGGTTGTCGAGGGGGATGGTGGGCTTGTTGGCGTCGACCCAGTAGGCGTGTGTCATCTTGAAGAGGCCGCAGAGGCCTCCTTCGCAGCCCAGCGACCGGTCGCAGTTGGAGCTCGCCTCGCAGATGCAGCCCAGGCACACCTCGCTCACCGGCTCCCTGTACTGCCCTATTAAACACAATTGATATATTAGAAAGGTGTAATAAGTATGCATCCTAAAAATTATAATAATATTCTTTATTTATTCTGGGACTAGTCGCAGTAGGATAAAATACAATAATACCATCTTGAGTTTTATAGAGCATCAAAACGATAAAACAAATGTTTAAAATATAAATAGATATATATATAAATAATTAATTATAACTTAATCTCTGACATTAAATGAATTAAAGAAATATCAGAAATAGACTATCGTGTAAGAAACAGAGCTTTATGCTCTCTTTGAGACTTAATAAAATCCCGCAAAATCTCTATAAATCTCAACTTAATAATATACAATGCTGTAATAAAGCAAGTTCATATATGGTTGCGAGTTTTGGAAACCAAGCAACAAAGAGTTTACACGTTTACCAAGTTTTTACACTTGTAGTTTTAAAACTATTTTTGAAAGTATTGTGTACATGTTTCTATGGAAATAAGTTCACAATGGTTTATCAAAAATGATGCAATTTTCATAATATTCCAAACACCCATTTGAAAACTAATTAAATTTTCTAGAAAAAAAAAACAAAACATGAATCAGACTAATCTTAGTGAAGAAACAATAGACGATTGTTGTGTTAAGCAATCCACCCAAATCGATGAGAAAAGTTGGTGTTCCTGGGTACTCCAGATATTTCCTAATAAATTATAGCTCTCGCTTAATCGATGGGAATACACGGATGAAATATTAAATTATTAGCAATGAACATTTAGTTGTAGTAGATTTTAACTTCTTTTACACATTAATGAGAAATAAATACAAGGATTTATTTGAGTTGTATGTATATATTGAAAGGTATAATGGAATACAGCCTTAAGTGTGCCTATATTCATGTATATGTTAACTCTGGTACTCCAATATAAGGAGGAGCGATGGAAGCCTACGCCTATCTGGAGGCGTGTTCGGTTGCTGAAATATGAGGACAAGTCAAGGAGCTTAGCGTGGGCTATGAAGGATGGAGCTCTTTGCTTATCTTTCCTCCAGGACCTCCAGGGATCATCTCTATTCCTCAGCCAGTCCAGCCTCCGTGGGCGTTCTTCTCTCGAGCAAATCCAGTGTCAGGATCGGACGTTGGTCAGTTCTTAACTACGACTTTTCGATAGTTCATTCAGCAATTTTTCCACATTTGTTGTTCATATAGCTAGAGTTTCAGATAGTTGTTTTGGATTCGTTGGTATAAAAAACTCTTCATTGTAACACATTTTAAGAAGATTAAACTAGGATGGATCCAGAAGTAGTTTTTGTATGGAGAACAATCATAAAAACCTCTGAGAATCATTATCTTATTTACGAGAGAAATTATTATAAACAGATTATTTCATATCCAGAATTATTTAAAATAGATTGTCGCCAGGATAAACAACGTAATTAATAAATTTCCTGTTTTAATTGATCACTGTAAATCACTAGCATATCCAGGATTTAATTTTGGAGAGAACATCAGCCCAAAAGCTATATATATATATACAACGATTATTACTTTTGAAGAAGAAGAAAGAAACTAACCACTTATATGAAATAGTGTTTAAGTAATTCAAGAAGCCTCATTAAATGTAATTACACGAACAATAATGCTTTTAGTGATCATTTTTTTTTTTCCTAAGGCATGCTTATATTTCATCAATTTGGAGGGCTTCGCCCTCCCCGATTCGCCTTTGCTGCAAATGTCTGAAGTCACAGGATCTGTGATCATCTCCAGCCTTTTGCACAACGTGAAGAAGGTAATTCTACAGTCCATCCATAGCTCGAAAAGATTCAGAGCTGTCTGTTACCAAATTCTTCATCATGTTATAAAGGCTTGGGAGTAGTATTACCCAATTTCGAGACCGAGACGAGTCTTGGTCTTGCAAACTCAGTCTTGGTCATGGTCTTGGTCTCGCAACAGTCTTGTAGTTACTTATTAGCTAAAGAGATATTACCGTAATTGTTTAGATAGGAGAAACCTAACAAAGCCCGAATGAAAAAATAGAGGAGATAAATGCAAAAGTGTATCGGTTATACCAAATATTAACATATACTAACTAAGATTGTCAAGTATTAGTAAATATTTTGCCTTAATTTTTATTTAAAAATCGATTTTGTTTACCAGTACTGCTCTTGGTCTAGCAACAGTTAGGCAGCCTAAGTGCAAGACCGAGACCGATTTTGTGCAACACTACTTGGGAGATGATATCAATATATGAGCCTTTCAGTTGACAAAGTGACTAACTCCAATTTTAACATTTTAACTCATTTTAGTGAGACAGTGAGTAAGTTGATAACTGAGTAGGTTATTGCAGAATTGAAATATACAATTGTGAACAAAAGTATAAATTTTCCAACGAGATATATCACTAAAATTAATAATAAAAATTGTTGAAATTAGAGTTAGACATTCATGTAAACTGAAAGGCTCATATATAATTCATGATTACCATTTTCTGACTTATTCCGTGTGACTGTTTATCGTCCGTTTGGAAAAAGAGTGGCACAAAACGAAAATTTTCGTTTTTCTTGTTTTTCGCTTTAAAATATTCTATTCAGTTATATTTATTTAGAAAAAAAAATCAGAATTTTAATTTTAATATTTATTCTACATTATAATACCTTCTTACATCCCAAACAGACGATCTGCAAACATAAAATTTCTTTTTATGAATTGAATTTTATTAGATGTCAATAGTAGAGCATTCTGTGTAAGCTTTAACGTCAAAAACCAATGCATCTTTACTTCCTTTTTTATTTTTTATTTTCTTAAGATTTTGTTTTTCTTTCTATTTATTTATTTTATTTTTTAGTTGTTTACATATTGTTATTTAGTGTTTATATTGTTAGAATTTTTATTGTTTGTTTTTGGCCAGATATGATTTTTTGTTTTTATTTGTTCATAATTGTTATTCTGAGGGAACTTCGTCTCGGAATAAAGTTTATTTTTCTATTTTAATAAATATTTTATTCCACGATTTAGAAATAAATGAACAAAGAAATGAAGATAAACTTTATTTTTTAAACAAGACAGGCGAACATTATTGATTAAGAAAGTGTCCGATGTGATGCTTTAAACTGAGTTAGAGACAGCGATAAACCTGCATATAAAAAGTTTAAACGTTCCTCCTCTAAAAGTCGACTTATTGTAAATTGCCACTCTTCTTCCAAGCAGAAGATATATACTCTATTTGTTGTAATCTTTTTATTGCTTGTCACCTTGACATAAAATTAGATGATTGATATTTGATTCTATGCCAAGGGTATATAATAATTATACAAAAATAATATAAAAGGAGGAAATTGAAGACATATTTTTCTGCACACGACCATGAACTGATCAGTGATAAAATTGATACCCCTGTAATCTCCATTTATTATTTTTACACATCTTTATCTATTACCGAAGGCTCGTGTTTTGAAATAGGCTCTACGCATGAGCTATTCGATGCAACTAGCGCAGATATTTTAGAATAAATAAATATAAAATAAATTTAGGCATTCATTTATTTCTTGGTTATAGTTATTTAATATCGAAGTTGTAAATTATTATAATTAAATGGTTCTATCATTATGACCTGCAAAAGATCGTAGAGACAACTAATATCCATCCGAATCAAGACCACTTTTATAATACAACTCAAAGACAGAATTTGACAGACGTATCTTTTAAAACATAAACTGATAATGTTTAAAAACAATTGACGAATATAAAGGGGGATTGTCGGTTCTTCTCGTATAAAATAATAATGATATAATATATATGATTTAAAATAATGTAAAATATAAATTATATATAATAAAATAGTAATTATTCAAACTTGTAGGTTGGGACTTCGCCTTGATAGTAATAATAAAAACACAGTTTTTGATCACATGGTCCTACTTTATTTCTTTTCTACACCAATATTTTTCTGCAGTATTTGACTAATTAAGTTATGTTGACAAAGGCGACTTTCACTCCATATTTATTTTAATTGTTTAAAATATGCCACTTCCCTTGAAAATGGCCTATGGGCTGAAAAAGATGTAAGTGTAGAAAAAGATTTTTTTTAAAATTGTATCACATTATATAAATTATTATAACAATCTGTCACAAGGAAAATAATTATAGTGAGGTATAAACACATTCACACCATTTATACTAAATCATAATCAAAAAGTATATACAATAAAAACTAAAATTACTTAAAGATAAGTAAATTTAAAGTACAAAAACACAGTTATACTTATATACAATATATACAATCAGGCAGGGAACCCCATACCAAGCTTGTCACTCCAACTATATAGGGAAAAGTGGAACTCCAAGAGATCCCTCCGCTACAAATATCACTGCGCTACAAAAGGTCTCTGGGCCAATGCCGCTTCAACCTTCGAGGAGGATTATAGGGATAGGTCTCTGGACTATGCAAGAGGATTTGGATGATTTGTAAGGTTTTGATGGAATTTCGAAAAGTTTTCAGGGATAAGGTCTATGACAAATCATACATGAAGGTCATGGCGTAGGGTTTTGTTGGTTACTTAGAACGAAGAATCGAATGTTATTCGGAGGACTTTGGACTGAAAGGATTGCATGCGTTTCAGATCCAAAGAAAAACAAAAAGAATTAAAGTAGGAATATATGATCAAAAATTTGTTTTTATTATTAATAATAATCATGTTCCCATCGATTGCACTTCGTAAACGAACTGTAATATTAACACACACGGTCCCCACAGTCTGCTCTATAATTAAATTGCATCATTCCCACTCAGCATTGGAAGATTAGTATCCATTAATTAATTGTATTTATTTTCAAAACTTCACATTAGCAAGGCACTAATATTTACGACACGAATAATTAGTTTATACAATCATAAATAAACATATAGAATTAACATGCACCTTCTTTCATTATTAGAGTGCTTAATTGCGTTGAACTTAAATTGTTTTTCAACTAATTTGATCTAAATAAGTAATATCGTACAAGATAAGTTTGTAAACATTCATACTTAAATAAAATAACACAGCACTTTATTTAAAAATGGTTTGTCTTTTCCAAATTGATAACTCTAACAAACAACAAAACAATCGGGATCATTAAAAGAGACTTATATGACATTTGTTTCATTTTATTCAATTATAATTATTCCAAAATATATTAAATTTCCTCTTAATCTTCATAACTTTGGCTTCCACTGTTTTTAAGAAGAGAAAAGCAATAATATTTAATGGGTGGGAAGCGCCAACGACCTTAGTGTCGATGAATCCCCTTTTGAATAGATAGATTGACATTCATCACCAAAAAATAATGAATGATAAGCAGTCAGTGATGTAGCCGAATGCCTACTTAATAAAAAACATTCAACTCTTCTTTGATCCGATCATTGGCGGGTCATTTCCTCGTCTGGCATTTAAGGAATCAAACCATTGTCCTGGATATTTCGGTAATTGTAGGGGCCGCAAACGGTTCCGATCTAATTGCGCCATTGGTAAAGTTCTGAAGAAGCAACATTAGCATGATTACTGATTGAGATCCGACAATAGAAAGAACTGAGGGACAATTGTGGCGACGATTTAATGCAATTCAATTCAACAGTCAATTCCGAATCCTATGCGGCAATAGCAATCTGGCCTTTAATGGCGACCTTTCATTATCTATGGATGCCGTTGTTGTTGTTTTTTTCTTTCACAATAGTAAGTTGATAGACTTAAGATTGCTGGTGTTGTTAAATGCTTAGTTAAGCTGTAAACAAGTTATTTAATGAATATATGCAAATATTGGCAAAGATTTAGAAGACAAATTAATTGTATTGAGAAATAAATTTTGTATAAAATTTATAATTCCCCATAGTAGTTATAATGGAAGAAATTTTTTCATGCTGGATTGTGCAGATGAAAAATTCCAACTCGCGCTTTATGTTTCAGACATCAAGAGACAAAGTTGAGTTCACGTCTGTCTGGAGTTGAATCCATGAAGCGGTGGCGTTGATTCTTATAAATCGTGATAAAACTTGCAGCGTTCCCAATTACTTTAATTTACGCTGAACATAATTTCTTATATATTATTTCTAAAAGGTGTTTTTTTTTTTTATCACAACGACAAAATTTCGTAAATTCTTCCAATTATTGAGTCCTCATTTTAAAGATCTTCTTCACCTTCAGGTGAGAAAAATAGTCATTTACGCCCGAAATTTAAGGAAAAAATGTTATGAAGGAAAAGAAACTTTATTTGCGAATAACTCAAAAAGGATGCATTTTTTTCTGGATTGTATCCATAATAATTAGAAATATTACTAAATTACTTACAGAACAAAACAAAAAATAAGAATTTCTTCCTCTGTAAAGATACTGCATTTACTATTCTACTACCTTTTTTTCCTGGCTGATATATACTTTATTATTTCTGAAAGGCCTTTTTTTGTTTGTAAGATATGATAATTTGATTTATTATGTTAAATGGAATATTGTAATCGACCCAGGAAAAACAATTAA